GGGGTCGTTCTGTCCCGGCCGTACTACACGCCGCCAGTGGGGTTGCTTCCGGGAGTGGGGCGCGGGGCACTGCCAGGGCATGAACGCTCCCAGCCACCCAGGTGCCCCACTGATTGACGCTTTGCTGTGTCTCTCTCCGCAGGTGGTCAAGGCAATCAACCGGGTGCTGCTCCGCAGGGTGGTCCGCCTCGCCGACCCAGACGCCGTCATTCGGGGATTTGGTGCCCTCAGCTTCCCCAACTGCGGGGGGGCCATCGACGGGACGCACATCCCCATCCGTGCCCCGGAACACCAGGTGTCCCGTTACGTGAACCGCAAGGGGTACTTCTCCGTGATCCTGCAGGCTGTGTGTGACCACCGGGGCCAGTTCACGGACATTGATGTGGGCTGGTCCGGCAAGGCACATGATGCATGGGTGTACCGGAACTCCTCTGTGTGCCAGAGGCTGCAGGCCGGGACCTTCTTCTCTGACCACCACATCAGGGTCGGGGATGTGGACATGCCTGTCTGCCTGGTGGAGGATGCGGTCTACCCCCTACAGCCCTGGCTCATGAAGCCGTACACAGGGCACCTCAACCACTCCCACCAGGCCTTCAATGCCACGCTCACCAGGGCCCACATCGTGGTGGAGGGGGCCTTCGGACTATTGAAAGCATGATTTAGGTGCCTCCTCACCCGCCTCGACCTCGCCGAGCACAATATCCCTCCCGTGGTGGCAGCGTGTTGCGTGCTGCACAATTTGTGCGAGTGAAAGGGGGAGGCTTTCCTGCCACCCTGGATGGCTGAGGCTGAGCACATGGCTGGCCACTATGCTCAGCCCCACAGCACCACCATCTAGGAAACCTATCGGGGGGGCCGTTCAGATACAGGAAGCCCTGCGAGAGGTCTTCCAAGTGGAGGAGGGGGACTGAACTCTCCCTTCATGCCCCACTGGGGCCTTCTTCCACCCTCTCCTCTTCCCCTTTCCCCTCCCTAACCTCCTTTCCTAATGTCAAATAAACACACCTGTTTTGACAACCAAAATCTCTTTTATTTTACATAACTGGGGTCAGGAGACGGAGAAATGAGGATGTGAGAGGGGAGGAGGAAACCTGGGAGGAGGGAGCAAAAAGGAGGAGGAAGGGAAGGGAAAGCTCAGGGTTGGGGGTCCTGCTGGCTATCCCATCTCACAGCACTGTGGGTGTGGAGGCCTCGGGGGGGGAGTGTGTGTGCAGGGTGGGGCAGGAGGGGCAGGAGGGACAGGGCTGCGGAGGAAGTGGGAGGAAAAGCAGGGTTTGGAGGAGGAGCGAGAGCTGGGCCGGCTGCAGGGTTTGGAGCAGGAGGAGGGAGGAACTTGTCCACCAGGGTCTGGACATGACATCTGAGGGCACGGCCCTGCTCCTCCAGCACCTCTAAGCTCCGCTGCCGCGGCAGCAGGTCCTCCCAGATCCAGTGCTCCTAGATGCGGATCTGGGCTCCAGTAGCTGCAGGTGCCGCAGCTGGAAGTCGTCCAGGTTCCTGGTGCGCCTGCTGGCCTGAGTGCGGGTGGCTGTTGCAGGAGGGGTGGTGCTCCCTGCAGTCCCAGGTGCTGGGGCTTTGGTGAAACAAGAGCAGTGGTCAGTTCTCCCTGGGGACACAGTGGGAGAAACCCAGCCCCCCTCTGCAAGGCGAGGTTGGCATGTGGGGAATGGGCCAGGGACCCTCCATGACACCCAGCTGCTGCTCCATGGTGGGCAAGGCCCAGGCGCACGGTCCTTGGGCTCCCTCTCCCCCCACGCCTCCCATACACATAAGGGGAGCAGGATGGCACTCATATGTGGAGCCCTGCCCGGCCTCGGACAACACAGCCGATGTGCTCTGTGGGGTGCCTCGGGGGTCCTGGGCCCTGAGCAGGCTCCCTGCAGGCTCCTGGCTCTCGGTGTCCTCCTCCTCCATGTCCAGGACGGGTCCCTCTGCCCCAGGGTCGATCACCACCCGGGGAGCATGGATGGCGTGAAACCCTAGGATGCTGTCGAGGGCCTCAAAGTGGGGTCAGGCCTCCGGGTCAGCCCCTGGCTAGGAGGCCCTAGCATAGGACTGCCGCAGGTCCTTGACCTTGCAGCGGACCTGCTCCCGATTCCTCATGTGCCCTCTGTCAGCCAGGCTGTCAGTCATGTAGCTGTAGACGGCTGCATTCCTGTGGCTTGTGTGGAGATTGTGGACATTGGATGCTTCCCCCCAAACCTCGATGAGGTCCACCATCTCTGCACCAGACTAGGCGGTGCAGCTGCTGGGTGTGCTGGCACGGGTGCTGGCAGCCTTGCAACTGGCACAAACTGTGTAGCCAGCCCGTGGCCCTTTAAGGGGTCCGGGGCCGGGAGGGGGGCAGTAGAGTTTGCCTGGTGTTGGCCAGAGTGGCCACCAGGGCAAGCTGGGAAGGGCTAGCCTCCCACTAGTTCGAATTAAGGGTCTACACAGCCCTTAATTCGAACTAGTAAATTCGAACTAGGCTTAATCCTCATGGAATGAGGATTACCTAGTTTGAACTAAGCGCTCCGTTAGTTCGAATTAAATTCGAACTAACGGAGCACTAGTGTAGCGCCTATGAAAGTTAGTTCGAACTAACGTCCGTTAGTTCGAACTAACTTTGTAGTGTAGACATACCCTAAGAGAGTTTATCGGTTTCTGTGTCTGTCTGTGTGTCCATTTGTCCCCCAGTTAGTGTTATGAACCTCCCCCCAGCTGTGCTCACTGCAACCAAGGACAGGCACTTCTCACCTGGGCCTGAGTCACTGTGGTGAGAGAAAGTTGAGGCTGTCCTCTCTCCCCAGAGCAGCCTGCATGGTGAGCCCCTTATTCCCAGTCCCACCCCAGAACAATGATTTCAATGAAAAAAACCAACAAAATTTATTTGAGTTAAAGACCCTGGCAACACTCAGTAAATCTTCTAGTAGACCAATAAATATCTTTGTAAAAGGACAAATAAATTATATCACCTGGTCCTCCTCTAATCACTGTTATGCTGACATGCTCTAATAGATTAGTCGGCAAGACTTTATAGAAGCCATAATTCCATATAATTGGTACAATACCTCACATTTGCTACTGGATCATGTGTAAGCTCAAGCACAGGAAGAAAGAAGTATTTACAGAAGAATGATTTGGAAAACAGTTCCATAATGAATTCACAGGTGTCTAAAAACCGAAGTCTGTTCCAGTAACTTTTTCCTTGGCCCAGCTCTGGAAAATAAAACCCCAAAATGGTTATCTGTAAAGTTTTCAGAATGAAGTAGATTATGTCTCAAGGATTAGCTTTAGATTAAAAGTGCTTTTAATAGGATGAAAAAACTTGTCACAAAGCCCATAATGTCATTTTATCACAATTTCACTCTCTGGTTGAAATCCTGTCCCCATTGAACATAGTGTACTTTCTCCATGGATTTCAATGGCAGCCAGGATTTCATCCTCTGAGTTTGATTAACCCACTGAAATAGCAGAACTACCAAGTGACACAGCTGGTACATGGAACATAAACTTCCACATTTCATACCAGGTGTATAAAGCTAGAGCTGTGTAAACATTAAGGATCATTAATGAGGGCTTCTCATCTTCCTGTGCTATTTTTGAGGAACTACAGGAGAGATCAGAAAATCAAACTTGTCAGCTACTTTTAAATTATTTAAATCATCTATAAATTATTCATTTTTCAGAAAAACTTATCATTCAGCACTCTTAAAACACAGCCTCTACTGTTCTATTTTCTAAGAGAAATTGTGCATTATATAATACAGTGCCTTCAGCTAATAATACTGAATTCCAGCAATGTGGTTTACAGGGTCTTTCAGCATACAATAAATTTCCTACATAGACTCCTCCTGCTGAGTATTTTGCATAGCCATGGCACATATTCACACGTGTTATCTAATGACACTGTAGGCCAAACTGGTGATCTGGTATGTCTTCTGAATATTGTTACGTCATTGATGATATGGTTACAGAGCACAACCCTAAGCACCATTTCTTTGTCATTTACCAGAATTAATTTGCTTGTCATAAAGTAATTAAGAAAAAAAATTACTGCTTACGTTCAATCAATTTCTGAATGACTTCATGTCTCTGTTCTTGTTTGCGGTTATAGCGTAAATAAACACAGAGAGTTCGAGCAGCTGCTTTTTGGACAGGGAGAACATTCTTAAAAGAAAAAGAAAATACAGTAAAACATCTAAAGGCATTTATAAGTGCTTCTGCAAACACTATCGACTACAAGATAAAAATAGGCAACAACTCATCAGGTTCATTCTGAAAGTGTGATGTTTTGGAATGTAGTTTTTTTTCCTTTTTTCCCCTTGCAATAGATTCTACATTATATTTCCATTCTAACATTAACAGATATTATACTTCAAGTTGAAATGCTTTCTAATCTCTACTCAGATCAAACGTTTTTACAAATAGACTCCATTAATATTTAATCAGGCCTCTTCTTTAATTAAAACAACTGTCTCTTTTCAGACTGATAACAGTCATATAATAGCTTATAGGCACAGCTGATTGGAAAAGTTGTGTTCCATAACATTTAGAACAAACTCAGATGTTTAAAAAGGTCTCAATGTTTGACATGACAACCTGTACGGTGACGAGCACATCAGAACATAACTTACTGTAGACCACATTTTGATTTCAGTTTCTGTGGGTCTTCATGGCTCTTGATGTGTGTAGTACTCACATACCTATCATTTTGGCCGCGATCCAACTAAGCACATATGTATGTGTTTAATTGTATCTTTATCCAGTAAAGCACTTAGGTATATGCTTAATTTTAAGTCATACACAAAAGAGTCATGGAAAGTGATTACTTTCTGCAGAAATTTTTTATTTTTTGTTTAAAAAATTCTTAAAACATGAACACTTTCAGCGAAACCCCAAAATATTCAGATTCAGATGTGCTACTATAGTATCTTGGGGAGCTGTAGTTCATTTGCCCCATGTCTTCATTCACCTCTTGGGGCTGAACTCCCCAGTGGACTTCCATCTCCCATGCTACACCATGCCTATGGGACTCCCATAATTTAGTGTCTCCTGTCATCAAAAGGTGCATAATAGGATATGTAGTCCAACCAGGGAGCCTGGACAGGTGAGGAGACTAGAAGCATGAGGCAGCTGAAGAGGCGGTTACTCAGCCAGTGCACTAATGGACATTCCTCAAGATAAGTGTTCTTATTGATGCTCCACTTCAGGTTATGGTGCTTCACTGCACCTTCGCTCAGAGAGCTTTACAGCAGTGCCCACATGGGCTTTGCATTCTGCTGGTGAGGGTCCTCAGTTCTTTCTCTACAATGGAGCCTGCTCCAAACTCTAAAATACAGAGGAGGAGGCTGGGTAGTGATGCACCCACAGGGACACTCATCTCAAAAAATGTCAGTTACAGCACCTGGCAAGTAACCTCCTCTTTGAGAGAGAGATATCCCATTGGATGCACCACTCTAGGAGTATGTCTAGACTACATGGCTCTGCGCCAGAGCCATGTAGATTAGTTTACTAGACATACCCAAATGAAGCGGCTATTAAAATTAAAATGGCTGCCACCCTGTGCCGATCAGCTGTTTGTCCGCACAGCATTGTAGTCTGGACACTCCGCGGTCGACATCAAAGGCATTTGTCGACCTCCCCGGTATGCCTCATGTATTTTTATTGAGCTGAAACAAAGCCCGGATAATTTAGGTTTTTGAAGACAGTCTAGTGTAAATTGGAGAGGGTGGAAGCAAGAGAGATATGTGAGGCAGAACACTGTGTGGTGAACTAAATCCATTTATGAAAATAGGTAGTAAGTGTACAATGTGTTCTGCAGTATAATAGCACTGTCTGGATCTGTTCAACAACAGCCTACCTCTTCATTAAAGAGCCACTGAGAAGCCATGCATTCAGGTGGAGCGTTGCTATGTTAGGTTGGTGGTGGGCCTCTGCATTTGGGATAACAGGATGCATTCAGGTGGAGCGTTGCTATGTTAGGTTGGTGTAGCGGGCCTCTGCATTTGGGATAACAGTTTCAGAAGGGGAGGAAAGTGACATTCATGTTACAAATGGATATCACATCAGTCCGGGCCACGCAGGAGCTATTAGGATAACAGATTGTCAGTCCGTGTCACCATGAACTTGTTTCTCATTGTGTATTTCCCCAGACCTGCTCTGGAACAGAATTTGGGGCATTTTGTGTTGGCCATAGCTGAAGAAAGAGCTAGTTGTCAAGAACTCCAGCTTTGGAAGATGCCACATACGATATTGTTTAGCTCCCACTCATGATCGAGGGGGAAGATCGAATGAGCTCATTCACCATGGTGTGCCGTGACCCAGGTAGGTATGAGACTAAAAGGTGGCTATTGTATTGGATATATCAGTTCTGCAGTTTCATAACATTGGTGCATAATGAGTGGGACAGAGCTCTTCCGTGTATGTTTTACAGTCAGATATTCCTGGTGTAAAAACTGGGGCAGCACCAAGATTGACAGTGCCAACTGGTGAGGCACTGCATATCTCAGAGGTGCTTTGTGTAGGGTCAATGCCAATGGGTGGAGACACTAAATGCACAGGGAGAACTGTGTGCTGTGTTGGTGCCAAAGTAGTTTGTTTCAGAACTGAAGCACGGGTATGGGAGTTAAATCATCAGCAATACAGTCTGTGCAACTGACTGTGCTGCAGTGCAGTGCTATAGCCTTCACTTCAACCTTAGCACTGGAATTACTGGTTGTCTCCAGCCACTGATGCCTGGATGATGCTGGAGGTACCAAGAACATCATGCATGCTGAGCAGCAGAGCTGTGGCTCCAATAAGACTGACCTGGTTGACAACCATTTCGGGGCTGTGTCCCCTATGTGGCAACAAAGCTGCTGATTTTTTGTTGGTTATTCTTTTTAAGATTTTGAGAACAGACTCTACCACAAACAGGACTGTTGGCCTGGGTTACAGGTGGGTCAGTGGGACTTTCCCATGAAATTAAGTTTCAGCCTCAACTCTGTCCTTGCATGCCCTGAACTTCAGTTTATTACAGTGGGCACACTTTTGGGGTTCAAGGGATTCCCCCAAAACCAAACATATTGAGAATGGCCTTCTGAGGCCACTTTGTGCATATCTTGAAATCTGGTGAACCAGGCATTTTGTGGAGTCATTAACTCTGTTAACAGAGAAGGTAAGTGTCTAGGAACCAAAACTTATCTAAATAAGAAAACTAATCTAACTACTCCAATTTCGTAAAGTAACACTGAAAAAGTGAAAAATAACCATGACTACTGAGAACCATCTCAAGCTGGGGACAACAGAAAAGGAACTGAGAAGTTTGAGCTGCACGCATGCTACTGAGATACCAGTGATATGTGAAGTAGTCACGTGTATGAGCACTGCAATAACATTCTCTAAGGGTACATATACACTACATCCCTTTTTTGATAAAGGGATGTAAATTAGACATATCAAAATTGTAAATGAAGCCAGGATTTGAATTTCCTGTGCTTTATTTACATAATGGCGGCCACGGCTTTTTTTCCAAAAAGCTGCTTTTCGAAAAAAAAACCACAGTCAAGACGGGGATCGTTTGACAGAAATGCCACTTTTCGAAAGATCCTGTACCCTCATTTTCTGACCTCAGGATCTTTTGAAACGGGGCATTTCTGTTAAATGATCCCCATCTTGACTGCGGTTCTTTTTTGAAAAGCGGCTTTTCGAAAAAAGCTGCGGCCACCATTATGTAAATAAAGCACAGGAAATTCAAATCCCAGCTTCATTTACAATTTTGATACATCTAATTTACATCCCTTTATCGAAAAAGGGATGAAGTTTAGATGTACCCTAAGTGAAAGCTCAGGGATACACCTTAACCTGGAGTGAAGCACCCACCAGATCATCTGTAGAAGAACTACAGCCCTCATGAAGCAGTACAATAGCATACCAAATTGAAATATTTTGGTTGCGTGAAAGCTAAAAATGTTTTATTTCCAGGCATGCATTTTCCATTTTCCAATGAGTTTGTATATTTTTGCCGCCTACTATTCCTAGTAAGCAATATGATTCCTGATTTACCATTTACTCCAAAGAAATCAAAGGCATAAACCTGATGTAAAACCGGAGTAATACAATGGTGAATTGGGCCTATTAACTTTGACCTTTTATTTATATTGTTTATCCATTTTCACTGCTTGCTCTCTCTTTTGTGTGTGTGTTTAAACTCCTTAGTATAGGGGTTGTACTTTCTTCTATTTCAGAAAATCACTTAGCACATTATTGTGTTACCAAAAATAAATAACAAATACTCTTTTAGGGTATGTCTATACTACAAAGAAGATTGAAGCTGCTGCTGTGATCTTCCAGGGTTTGAATTAGAGGGTCTAGTGAAGAAACGATAATTCAAACTGAGAGGGGCACTCTCGTCGATGTCGATAGCCCTGCTTCCATGAGGAGTAAGGAAAGTCGAAGAGAGAGTGTTTTCCCTTCGACTTCCTTTGACTTTCTGCAGTGTGGACAGTGCCAAAAGTCAAGTTAAGGTACTTCAACTTCAGCTATGATATTAATGTAGCTGAAGTTGCATATCATAATTCGACCTTATCCCGTAGTGTAGACATACCCTTACAATAATCCTCCTCTTTGATTAATTTAATAACGACCCAATCCAGTCTTTCTAGAGCAAAATTTACTGCCATGGAATTAAATGGCACATAATAAAGAGTATAATAAAAAAGTAAGTTAACGAATCAAGTAGAACATTTTTCTCTTCAGATATGAATTTGATTTATACAAAAATCAATGGTATGGAAAGGAAAATCCAGAAAAGAATAAATAACATTTCATGAAATTGTTATGTAAGCCCAACTTTTCCTAAGAAAGATGGGAGGTTCTTCAAACATTTTCTTAGCGCTATATGATAAAATTTGTAAACACCCTAACTGTTTTCTACTTGAAGGTAATATAAGAACGCTAATTTCAAATAAAATATATAAAGGTATTAATTATTTTGCATTAGTCATTCTGAAGCACCAGAAACAAATATCAAAACAACAGCAGAGAGATAGAGCTTGGGGCTCACATTTGTCATAATGATTGTCAACATTCTGTGCAAAAAACGATAATAAATCTGATCACTTGATATGATATGAGGCAGGCATGCATATTTTTGTAGTAATTTTTCATGAGTTCTCCATTTTAAAGAAGTTGCTGCTCTCTGTTCCGCTGTTGTTAGTGCCGGAATCAAGTCAGGGATAGTCAAGAACTAAAAATATAAAATAAAAGCATTAAAAATGTAAAATCTGAAGTAGTTATGATACAGTATTATTTAAATCCTAAAATGTATGTTAATTGAGAAAATAAAAATGATTGATTTATTCCTATTTTAGGATGATAGCCTGTGTTTTTGCACATGCAAAATCCATTCATCCAATCATGTTATGATGTGGTCCCCAGTAATGGACAATGTGATCACCTCCTTATATTAATACACTGGTATTTAAAGCATGCCCTGAGGTAAAGTAATATCTCCATTTTACAGATGGGGAAGCTGGGGCATTGAGACACTTGCCCATGGCCACAGAGAAAGTAAGTGGCAGAGTTGGGAATAGAAAAAATACCATTCAATAGCTGTTCTTTTCTGAGGTGTGTTGCTCATATTCATTCCATTTTAAGTGTGCACATGCCTACATGCATGGTTATCAGAGAACTCCGCCATAGTGGTATTCATAGGGCCAGGTGTGGTGCCCTCTGGTGTGATGCGCTCATGCAGCAATATATCAGGTGCTACCAGTACTATACCCTCTCAGTTCTTTCTTGCCAGTAACTCCAACAGAGAGATAGGAGGGTGGGTAATGGAATTGACATGAGCAACACACCTTGAAGAACAACAGTTACAAAAAGGTAGGTAACTTTTTTTCCTTTTTCAAGTGCTTGCTCATGTTGATTACATTTTAGATGACTCACAAGCAATATCTATGGAAATGGGCTTTAAGTCCATAGCTTAATGTCTTGTAGTACTGCACTATCGAAGCCAGCATCATCTGAGGCCTGCAGGGAGTAGCCCAACAAAGCTGAATCGAGCACCCAGCAATCCAAGATAACAGGTGACTGGGACAACCAAAAAGGGCAGAGATGGTTGAGGAAGGAGGGTGGATCCAGTATGTTGGCTAGGATGCCATCCTCCAAATGACTGCTTCTGGCCTACCTGACTTCTGGGAGGGTCAGGTTGAGTGATCGAGCAAAAAGAGGATAGGTAACATAGCTTACATCCTTTATCCTTTTCCTTCCCCCTGTAGGAACCCAATCTGGGAGCCTGCCAGGACCTAGACTGCATCAGAGGACAAAGGTGCGGAAGAAGGAATGGCTTTCTGGACTGCTGAGGGATGTGCAAGGCCAAGGAGCAGTGGGTGGCTCAGAAGTCCTTCAGCCTATGGAGCCTTGGCTGTGTCTAGGCTGGCAAGTTTTTCCGCAAAATCATCTGCTTTTGCGGAAAAACTTGCCAGCTGTCTACACTGGCCGCTTGAATTTCCGCAAGAACACTGACGATCTCATGTAAGATCGTCAGTGTTCTTGTGGAAATACTATGCTGCTCCCGTTCGGGCAAAAGCCCTCTTGCACAAATCATTTGCACAAGAGGGCCAGTGTAGACAGCACAGTACTGTTTTGCGCAAAAAAACCCTGATGGCTAAAATGGCGATCGGGGCTTTTTTGCGCAAAAACGTGTCTAGATTGGCACGGACGCTTTTCCGCAAAAGCACTTTTTGCGGAAAAGCGCCCATGCCAATCTAGATGCTCTTTTCCGAAAATGCTTTTAACAGAAACCTTTTCCGTTAAAAGCATTTCCAGAAAATCATGCCAGTGTAGACATAGCCCTTGAGTCAGTCAGCTCAGAAAAGAGCACACAAAGGGGAAATCCTGGATAGTGGTCTGCATTTCCTGGGACAGCCCAGAAGTTTGCAACCAGGAACTGAGTCTCATGGCCACCTCCAATGCAATCTCCTTGACACCAAAGTCTGTGGCATCCCAGACCATCTGGATGACTCCCCAGGCCACTGCCGTGCTTTCACAGATATGATCAGAGATGCTGTAGGGAGATGAATATACAGATACTCTAAGCCCTTTACAGAAACATAGTACTTCTTTTAAGTCTTCTTTGATGTCAGTGGAATAGAGGGGGTAGGTTGTCACACTGATTTGCCTATCTTGAGCACCTCTGAATGGATGGAGAATGGTCTATTGATAACCACTACTACTTTAGCAAAGCAAGACAAGGTGCTCCAATTAACCATCATGGACGGTAAGAAGGAACTGAGAGGGCATAGGGCCGGCAGCATCTCATATACATGCCACTTCAAAGGCATCACAGTTGACACTATGGATACCATAAAGACAGAAATATCTAACTGTGCATGTGGGCATGAGTAAGCAAGCACACAAAGAAAAATCCAGATCTCACAAGTACTCATTCAATACCCTAATCACAAGACCATTATTCCTCCTAAAAAGGAGCAACAGTGTCTGAAAAGGCAATTCTACATAAAGTTACCCAGATGTGTATACAAATCACTATTAGACATATGTAACTACACTTTATCTATGAAATCATAAAGATGCAATTGCATAATTTGGATGTAACTTAGCGACTATGTCTGAAATTTTGATTCCTTTTGAAAACTTTGTGGTTATTTATTCAGACAGAAGACAAGTGTAAACTGAAATATTTTGCCTTGTGCAGAAGGGCTTTACATCTATGTAAATCTGAATCTTGGTATGTATATAAGTAAACAAATACAAATGTCAGTTTGCAGTTTTCAGAGACAGGATGTAGTCCTATAGTCCTTCTGCAAACAGATTCCCAGTGATTTCAATGAGCATTACCCTATGTGAAATAACTTCAGTACTAACTTCCTTCATGGTTAGAACTAGACATCAAAACACAGGTTATTTACCTTGCTTTCTGATCCACTGTTTTCTCCTCCAGTAGTCATAAATTCAAGAATTTCAGGCAGGTGACTTAATAGTGCATCTAATACCTATGTAAAGAATGTTGGATCAATCATGTTTGTAAATTCATTTGGCCTGATTCTTTTCTTGCATGAGTTTGACATTGGTACGTCCCTACTGACTTCAGTGGTGTTTTACACCCACACAAATAAAATAATCAGGTCCCATTATTTGTCCTGATAATGTTACTAAGCTCATATCCAAACTATGGTCAGATCTTTTAAGCCAAAGTATTTATATACAATATAAAATATTAAAATGTAACTATATTTCTAGGGACTTCTGCACTTTCCAAACAGGCAGTAAGGACTTTATCAGATATGAAAAAACATATATATTTTGGACAATTTTTGCCAGACAAAATTTAAAACTTTTTTTAAATCGAGTTTTAGCAAAACTTCACTTCATAGAGTAAAATCTAACACACTGGAAATACCGAATAACATGCCCTTAGAAGTTTCTGATGTTTAAAACTAGACTAGAAATAACAATATTAAAACATACTATAGGGACAAATCCTGAATTGATGCCTGATATTAGATCCTCAATTTCTGAGTAACCAACTTGAGACATCCTAAAGAAGCCTAATTTTCAGAAGTGCTGAGGATGTGATCTCTGATATTTAAGCTCTTTTAAGATGTTCAAGTGTTTCACCCCAAATCCATGTTCATTTTTCAATATCTTGGTCAATCGTAGAATCCTAGAACTGAAGTGACCTCGAGAGGTCCTGGAGTCCAGTCCCCTACCTTCATGGCAGGACCAAGCACCATCTAGATCAGGCCTGCACAACTCGGAAAGCAATGAGGGCCTTATTACTCCAAAGAAAACAGCTGTGGGCCGCAAGTAGGGTTGCCAGATGCTCTCCCCAAAAAATACCGAACACGCGGGCTAAACATTTTTGTCGAGGGGGGAAAGAGGGGAGAACCACGTGTGTCTGGCATACAAAAAAAACCCGCACCACCTGGCTTCAGCATGCAACCACAGGAGGCGCCACCAGGCTTCCATCCAATGCCCAGCCAGAAATTCAGAAAATACTGGACATTACACGTGTCCAATATTTTCTGAATTTTTTTTACCGGGCAGAGAGTGCAAATACCGGACTGTCCAGTAAAAAAGCGGACACCTGGCAACCCTCACCGCAAGGGTAGGTTGGGGTGTGGGGGGGGGGGTAATACTTTATTAAGAATTTTTCAATTAAATCAAACAACTAATTTTTTAAATTATTTTAATTTGTGTTTATTTTAATTATTTAATTACTTTAATTGTTATTTATGAATACAGAGTGCCAATCCTCTCCCCTTCCCTGTGGCCTTTCTGCCACAGGAAGCGTGAGAGGATCAAGGGGCAGCGTTGGGAAAAGGGGGCGCCCCCTCCCCACTCCCTCCACCTCAGCTCCAGGTGGAAGGGAGCGGCCAAGGAGAACAATTTTTCCCTCCTCTTTGTAAGACCTTTTTAGATACTTGAAAACAGCTATCATGGACCTATACAAAACAAATTAGGCCAAATAATGGAATAATTCCACTCAAGTCAAAAGGAGTAGTCACATTCTAAATGAGAAAGTTGAGATTCCTTCAGTATTTTACTGGATCAGGACTGAACTGCTATTTTCTAACAATCATTTGTCCATGCCAATGGAAAGCCAAAAATTCCACAACACGTTTGAAAGAAGGTTATGTATTTTAAACATGGTGAAACTGAGGCATGTGAAATTTAAGTAACTTGCCCGAAGTCACACAGAAAGTCTGTGCTAGAGCATGGACAAAAGTCTTGGTCTCTTTCCTATAAGCTCTGTCCCTTAATCATAATACTATTATAACCCTCCTTCAGTCAGAGTAAGAAAAAATAACCAACAAAATGTAAAATCTGCACTCAAGCTTGGGAGAGCTCAGGGCTGTTGGGAACAGAGGCAAGAGTGGAACCCAGAGGAGATCAGGTGGGTAGGCTGGAATCAGCACCTCTAGTACAAAGCATTGAACCCCTCACTCGCAGCCTGAAACAAGCTGCCCCACTCTAGTGAAATTCCCATTTCATTCTGCAGGGAGAACACACACTCCCACTCCTAACCTTAACACTGTATCTAACCTCTACTCTGCATGCAGAACATCCATCCTGATACCCCATCTTTACCCATCTCCCCATACAGAGTACCCACGTGGTCTTCCACTGAAATGCCAACTTTCTCCTGCTCCTTTTCTCCATTCTCCATGCTCAATATGTTTAAATTTCTGTGCGTACCTCCGTTGCCCCATTCAAAGAGAACTTCGACATCTCCGATCAGTTTTACCATGTTCAACCAAATATTTATTTTTACACTTAAAACCACACAAACGCCCTCACACTTAGGGTATGTCTACACTACAGTGCCATTTGGAATTATCTTAATTCGAAATAGTTAATTTGAATTAAGCTAATTCGAAATAACGCATCTATACACAAAAGCTATTTCGAAATAGCATTTTGCTATTTCAAAATAGCATGTCCACACTGAGTGGACCCTGAACCGAAGTTAAGGCTGGCCGGAACCAGTGCTGGCTGGGCATCAGTTTAGGACTTAGTATGTGGGGCTGCTGCCTGAGGCTAACTGAGCTCCGTGCTTAAAGAGACCCTATGCCCACCCTGGGCAGACAGTTTTCAGGGTTGCTTGCTTGTCTATCACGATGAGGGACAGTAAAGCAGTCCTGTCTTGGAGTGCCCTGAGTGCCCGAACTCGGGACACCACAGCACTCGGCCACATGGAGCCAGAGCTGCCCCTGGGCACGCTGGTGTGTCTCGTGGAGTCGATACCATCAGCCCAGCTGCAGGCTGCCATCCGGGGTGGCCTATTGGGGGGCTGTCAGGATCCAGGAGGCCCTGAGGGAGAGCGTCCACCCCGAGAAGCCCTCAGAGCCTCCCCGGTCCTCCCCACGGGGGGCTCATGACCCATTCCTCCCTCATGTCCTTCCATTTACCCCTCCCTAGCAACCCTTTTATTTGACTTCAGGAAGTGTTGCTAGGGAGGGGTAAATGGAAGGACATGAGGGAGGAATGGGTCATGAGCCCCCCGTGGGGAGGACCGGGGAGGCTCTGAGGGCTTCTCGGGGTGGACGCTCTCCCTCAGGGCCTCCTGGATCCTGACAGCCCCCCAATAGGCCACCCCGGATGGCAGCCTGCAGCTGGGCTGATGGTATCGACTCCACGAGACACACCAGCGTGCCCAGGGGCAGCTCTGGCTCCATGTGGCCGAGTGCTGTGGTGTCCCGAGTTCGGGCACTCAGGGCACTCCAAGACAGGACTGCTTTACTGTCCCTCATCGCTGCTAATGGGTTCGCATGTTGCCTTTGGTGGCCAGGCTGGCAGCTATCCCACCATAGATGGCCGCGTTCCCCCGTCTAGTGCAGAGATCATGGACACTGGGGGCAGCCCACCCAAACATGAATAAGGTCCATAATCTCCACCCTGGACCAGGAAGACGCCTGCCTTCTCCGGCCCGTCAGGCTCCTGGGAGCTGGCAGACTACTCCTGGGGAGCGGTGGAGGGCTGGCTGCTGGTGGCTTGCTGGCTCATGTTTTGGGGCCACTGGGTCAGGGGCCTCGGTGGCCACTGCTGGCTCTGGGCTGGCAGGCTTGGAGCTGGCACAGGCACTGTGGGGAGAGGAGAGTAAGTTTTCCTGGTTGTGCCCAGAGTGGCCACCAGGGCTCCCTGGGAAGGGCTGGAGGCCCCCTATTTCAAAATAAGTGTCTACATAGCACTTAATTCGAAATAGCTATTTTGGTAATGAGGTTTACCAAATTCGAAATAAGTGCTTCACTATTTCGAAATAGCGGTTTGCCTGTATAGACGCTATTAAAGTTAATTTGAAATAATTGCTGTTATTTCGAATTAACTTTGTAGTGTAGACATACCCTTATACACACATCCCTGATTTAATATGACAAAAACAAAGGAGGGTTGTTGAACTGAAACTTCCCCCTATTTTCTCCCCCTTTTATTTTTCTACTGTTCTCACTTTCAAAGGCACCAAGAGAAATCCGCATCTAAAATGATTCCCTCAGTCTTTATAGAATAAGTGAATCCAAAGTAAAACATAATCATTTCGAACATTAGTTATATTGGTTTACTGTATTGGTGTTATGCATTACATAAACTACATTAATGCAACCAACAATAAAGAAGAGTAAGTAATACATTACCTCCAATGAATCATCCTGAAGTAGTGTTACCAGTTCTTTATGTATTACATAGACATCAGAATCTAAAAGCTTAGCAACCTAAAAAATGACAGTAAGACAAACAAACAAAGCACACTTTAGTTTCAAGGAAATATAAAAGTTAAATCATCTGCATTTACTTTTCAGTAAGGTTTGATTAGTAACATGAAAGTAGGGATGTGGAACAAATCTATAATACCCACAAACTGCGCTTTTAAATTGTTGAGGTTATGTACAGTGGCAGATTTAGAGTTAGTGGGGTCCTGTGCTGAGTTTCATTGTTGGGTCCTGCTAAGAAAAAGAACATTCACTCTTCCTGTCCCTCCCACTTCTCATTCTTTTTTCTTCTTCATCTTCCTCCTATATTATAAGTAATAAGAAGTAAATGAAAATAAAGTGAGGTACTTTGATTGTTTTTATAGTCTAACATTTTTTTCACAGACCACTTGAAAATTGCTGAGGGTCTTGGTGGACCACTTCATGATGTTTCCAAATATTGTTTGTACCATTGCCTACTACTGTAAAGGGCTTTGGATAAGAGTGCTTTATAAAAAAAAAACATAATAACCTTTCCTCAGTCCACCTGAATGGAGTTCTTGGAACACAGTTTGAGAACTTCTGGGTCTAGATGAAAATCTGTATTTGCAGTAAGCCAACATGAAAAATGTGTAAAAATAAATGTATAGATGATGCATAAATGGAAAAATAAAAGTTAAGTTCCTCTGAAGAAACATATTCAATTTGAAAAAAAAAATCCGCTAGCTTTCTTTCTACACTTTTTCTTTACAAAATCATCAATTAAATCATCGTAAGTGATATTTTGTAAAGAGGTACTTTCAATTGTCAATATTGCTGAACTTGTCAAATGTTCCTCCCTGCTCTCCCCCCCCTCCATAAATGGAAAAATAAAAGTTAAGTTCCTCTGAAGAAACATATTCAATTTGAAAAAAAAAATCCGCTAGCTTTCTTTCTACACTTTTTCTTTACAAAATCATCAATTAAATCATCGTAAGTGATATTTTGTAAAGAGGTACTTTCAATTGTCAATATTGCTGAACTTGTCAAATGTTCCTCCCTGCTCTCCCCCCCCTCCCCCCCCCCCCCCCCCCCCGAGGCCACTGCACCTGCGCCAGAGCAGTAACCCTCTGCACATGGGGCGGGGCGAGGTGGTTTGCTGGACCCAGTGTTGGACTGCCTGGCCCTGGGGGCCCCCTGTCGTTGGTGGGAGGGCGTGCCAGGGCATGGTATGTTTAATTGTAAATCCACCCCTGATTATGCACTTTCCTGTTGTTAGCATATTACACTGCTTTTATAAATAGCATATAAAATGAACACCAGAGTTGCTGCAAAATTATTAAACATGCTACAGTACTGAGACTAGGTTAACAAAAGCTTCCTTTTCTAATTTTTATATTCCAAAACTATTTTTAAATGTGACCTGCAAATTTTTTTTTAAACACCTCTGTTACTGGAGCATGCAGCAGGATAAGAGAATTAGGCAGCTGAATTGAAGAAATAAAAGTTGGTTTTGGGTCAGTTATGGGCCTTAAGACTCCCTAATCTTTGCTACTTGAGGTTCTCATTTCATAAAAGCTGCTGGCAATTTGCTTAGAAGTCACAAGTCACATTTAAAGTTCAGCAATAAGCCTGATGTAAGTGTTAAAACAATCAATAATGATGTATGGCAACAAATAAGAGAAAAGTTTTCAGAAATCTGACTTCTCAGCCATGTGGGGCAAATCATAGCTTTCTTCGGAGGTAATACTTGATATTCATTAATCGTTTTCTTTGTTTCACTTAGATCATGCTAACAATCTGTTCCATTCCAGTTAAGAGGTAGGATATAATTTGTTTTAGGAAATGGCTCATAGTATATTAAATAAAAAAAAGTCCAACTAGAAGAAAGCACCAGAAATTACTTGATATTTGTGTGACATCTGGTTGACTGATGAGATGATAATAACACATGGACACACCCTAACTGTGAACAACACTTGAAGTATAATTTCACTGGTCCTTTTTACAAGGCTAAGATAATTTTCTTTTATTTATTCAAATATCAATTTAAGTGTGTCTACCTCTGACACCTTAAGTACAGGATTTTGCAGAATGATATGTTAGTTGTACAATTTCCACTACTTCTACAGCAAAGGTTAGAGCAGGGAACTAGGTTTAAGACATGTTGCTTTTATTTGTGACTTTTCTGCAAATGCACTGTAACACCTTCAAGAAGCTGTTTAATCTCTCAGACTCATTTTCCTCTGACTATAAACTGGAGATAAGAGTAGCAAGCCCTGTGTTGTTCTGAAGCTTACAGTAGAAATCCTTGGATGAAAATCATCATCTGAGGGCTATGGGTGATTATTAATTTCAGGGAAAGGATGTGTATTCTATTTGTACAATTTATTTCATTTTAAAATTATTAATACCCACACAGTCATGCCATCTGATATATTTAATAAAACATTATAGTGCAGCCTATCCAAAACCAAGCAGTTAATTATAGTATACGTACTTGTTACATTTCTATCACTTTCTAACTCCCCTAATACAGGCAGTCCCCGGGTTACATCGACTTACATCGGATCCCTACTTACAAACGGGGTGAGGCAACCCCGCACTAGCTGCTTCCCCCCAGCAGACCAGGGAGATGCGAAGCTAGCGCCCCCCCACCCCAGCAGACCAGGGAGAGGTGGAGCGGCTTTTCTCAGCAGACACCTCAGCTTGAGAATAAAGGACTGAGGGAAGTGAGGTGTGGGAGAATAAAACTGAGCTCTGGAGAAATGTTTGGCTAGAGTTTCCCCTACAATATGTACCAGTTCTGACTTACATACAAATTCAACTTAAGAACAAACCTACAGTCCCTATCTTGTACGTAACCCGGGGACTGCCTGTATTAAAATTCATTCAATGTTACTTAGGCCTCGTCCTTATACTATCTTCCACACATTGCCAACTAAGCACAAATCCTACAGCCCTAGACAAAGATTGCAGAATTAGATCAAATGCAGCACATTGTCTTCTTGCTTTCTCTCCTCTGTGTCTTCCTCACATTTCCTCCTTCTCTCTTTTTTAAAACCTACTCTCTCACCCCACTGACTTAGGATGTATGTGTGTATGTGGGAGAATTCTTTCCCTTAATCTCAGTCATATCTCCCAAGTCTTGTCCTGTAGCCCTTGGTCTTCAAAATCTTGGACCATACTCATTATTTAAACATAAGAATGGCCATACTGAGCCAGACCAAAGATCCATCTAGCACACTTTCCTGTCTTTGGACAGTGGCCAATTACAGATGCCCCAGAAGGAATGAACATTAGGGATGTCAGAGTTTAACTAGTTAACCAGTAACCAATACGCTGATACTTACAAGTTTCTGTGAATGATTAAACTCTGCTAGGATCCCACCTGCCAGCTCCACACCCAGGCTTCCTTCTTGCTGCCCGAGGCTCTGCTGTCACCACTGCCTGGGATGCTGATGCAGAGTCTCTACAGGCTGTACCGCAAGGGTCCCTCTGGATAGCTGGCCGGACTCTGATAACGGCTGCCGCCTAAGTCTCAGGTACCAGTTGTCAGCCCCATGCTCCAGGCTCTGCTGTTGACAGGCATCTCAGCACATGTGTGGGCTGGGCTGCTGGCCCCTATGCCAGGATCCTATGGCTAGCCCCGTGCCATGGGCTCTTCCGCTGGTGGGGTCCCAGCAGCCAGTCCCAGCCCATGTGCTGCAAGCTCAGCAGTCAGCAGGTTCCTGGCACACATGGGTCCTGCCGTGAGGTATGGGGACTGGACTTGATGATCTCTCAAGTCCCTTCCAGTTCTAGTAATCTATTTTTCCATGGGCTCTCTGCTGCCAGCTCTGTGGGCTTTGCTGGCCCCACAACTGCGGTGCCAACTGCCCCATACTATGGACTTTGCAGCAGGTGGGTTCCTAGGGTGCCATGGCATCTGGGGCTCTACTGCTGCCTACATCCCCGTTCTCTGGATTGCTAATGTGTGACCAGGGCTCTGCTGCCTCCCCTCCCTCGGCCATCCCTTCCCACAGTACTCAGCATCCAGCTGTTGGCCCTGTACCTGTGGTCCCTGCTGCTGCTTGGCATTCCGATGCATCCAGGTCCCTCTGGGTGCCAGCCCATGCCTGCGGCTCTGCTGCTGCCCAGCATCCCTTTCCGGTGTATGGGCCTCCCAGCTTGGGCCTGTGCCCTGCACCCAAGGTCTCCACTAAAGATGTTTGAGTGCCAATGGCTCTCAATGAATAAACCACACCTATGTATTATCTTTGTCAAGTGCGTTTATTAACAATAAAAAACCCCAGTCTTATGTGTAAAAATAAAACTAATTTTTAAAAACTTTTTACATAGTATCCGTGAGCTCTCCAAACCCCAAACCATCTGATTATACTTTGAATTCTACTGCTTATTTTTGTTAAGAAAGTTAATAGGTTTACATGCTCTAGTGTCAATTTTGTGTGCAGCTGATTAACTAATCTCTCCTCATTTGGCAGCCATTCCATAGCTCTAATAATTTTTGTTGCCCTTATCTGAACTTTTTCAAACGCCAATAACTTTTCTGGGATGAGGTGACCACATCTGCATGCATACCATGGTTTTATATAGAGGCAATAAGATATTCTGTGTCTTATTTTCTATTACTTTCTTAATAACTCCCCAAAATTCTTTTTGTTTTTTTGACTACTGCTGCACATTTAGTGAATGTTTTCAGAGAACTATCCACAATTTATATTTATTTACATTAAGATTTCCTGTCCTTGAGTTGTTCATATTTGCAGTCCTCCTAAATTCACTCTACCAAAACTTCCCTCACCACAATTAATGACAACTTCATTCTAGTTAAATTTCCAGTCCTTAAATTTTAAAAGGTATATAGTGGATTATAATGATATATCAGAAGACTTTCAGTAAATGGAATAATATCAGCAAATTTTCCAATGCTTTCTCACTGAGAAATTATATAAAACAAATGTCATACTATACATACTATATAAAATTAAATGTCAATTTAAACAGACATTGTATAAAAACCATATAAAATATTTAAAAGCTCCTTAAAAATTTGAAGTACTAACAAAGAAACTTTTTGGACTTACTTCATACAAGCCAATAGCCATAGTGTATCTGACGGGCACTTCAGGGTCATGACAAAGACAGAAAAATGTCGAGTATAGTTCCAAATGGAAGTTTTTTGGATCCACAAAAACAATCATGGCCTGTGGACAAATAAGGAGTCTTTCATTCAAATGTGCACATACAGAGCCAAATTGTTTGGCATTCCAGCTACTGGTGGAGTCCCCAGTGTGAAATCAATGCTGGCACTTGAGCTAGCAAATACTTATTTAAAAATGGGGGAGCTGGTGACAGGATATTTTCTGTGACTGGTCCTGGAACTCTCTCCTACCCCAATAGTCTTACAAAATTAGGATCTACTGGCTTCTGGACATGCTGCAAGGCTTTTTCTGAAGAGACAGACTGAAAAATAGAGGATAGTTTGCACAAGAACCTATTACAGTAGACTTCTGATAATCCGGAACCTATGGGACCAGGTGGTGCCGGATTATCAAATATGTCAGACTATCAGGAGGTACTATAAGATGGTTATATATATATACTGTATACATTATATACTGTATATAAAGTGTTCTTAACCCTTTTTATTGTACATACTGTATACAGTATTCTGTAATGTTTTAGTTTTTTTAAGCCTTTTTTACCCTTTTTGCTCAGTTCAGCTGCTGCCGCTGTTACCTTGTGACTCATTTTTTGCTGAAGCTCACTCACTAGGCTCTTGCCATTTTGATGCCGGACTATTGGAGTTTTACTGTAGTTCACGATGAGTCAACTGATGGGTGATCTATATTCTGAGAAACTGGGTCAGTCCCAGAAGGACAGGAAAAAGTCTGGGCATTGTGGATATGGATCCTCTAGTTTTATATATTTGAAATTATTCTCTGAACTAAAACCTTCAATGGAAGCTTTTAAAAACAAATAACTAAAATGCATTTTTAGCAAGCTCCCCCAGCAGCTCCAGCCTCCATCCTGATGGGGAGGACTCTGCATCTGCTCAGCTGCGGCAGGATCTCTCAGTCACAAGCAGGGGAGATGGGGAGTTCCTGCAGCAACCCAGCTCCCATGGGCAGCAGGAGCCTCCCCAGAGTTGCTCGGCCATTATGCAGGAGGACTGCAGAGTCCCAGAATCCCAGCAGCAACGTGTGCGGACCTGCCTCCCTCCCCATTTTGTCAGTCATATTTTTTGAAAGTCAAGCACAGGTATTGAGCTTCTCTGAATTTCTGTTTATTGCCTGTGACCTGTCCGTGACTTTTACTAAAAATACCTGACAAAAAATGAGCCATACTCATAGCCTTTTTGGAGAAATCACGCACGAGTACAATTTACTTGAGCTTTGCACTGGAGTTCAAATTTGGCTCACAATATACTTTGTGGTAACAGATTTTACATCTTATATCTATTCATGTTTTGTGGCCAACACGCACAATATAAGTTTTATAAAATAGTTAACTTACTGGAAAGTTGTAAGCACAGTTCTTCCTTACTGATATATACTTCTTTTCTTGCTCTAGTGTTTGAAGTTGTATCTGATTATCATTGTGTCCATTTTCCTGCTGCAAACCCAGTGTGCAAAGTTTCTTGTAAAATTCCAAAAATCTCAAGTGTTGCTCTGGAGTAAAAATTCCTTTAAAAATACAACACTAATGCTTAAGTTTCTTGTAACAGAAAAGTTAATCTCCAACAACCTACATTTATTTCTGGAGCAATCAAATAAACCATTTTTGCTATTCATTCTTATATAATAATGCCAATGGTAACCATTCCCTTATTGCAAGTAGTAGGGAGAAATAGCAATTACAGGAAAAAATTGACTTACTCACAGAAAAATGAACCTTCACTCCTGCATTTTAGAAATAAATAATTTTTAGAATCTTAATAATTTCATTTAGGAGGATTGTGAATATTTTTTAAAAGTTGTAGGATCATGTTTATTCCCCTTCTTGACTCCAAATCCTAGAACACCACCACCATTCCCACTGAGATCTGGCAAAGCCCATTGCACAAATTAAGCCTTGGAGATCATAAGGAATTTAAAAAGCATGAAGGTGTTTACCTGAGCCACCTGCAATACGGTGAATTTCGCCTTCCACTTAAAGGATCACTGAGCAGGGTTTTGATGTCTAGCCAGCTCCTATCTAGGATATAGGTGTATAGGGATCTCTAGCTCTACAAGAATTTTGATCTCTATCCAGCCTCTATTAAGGCTATACATATACCTTGAAAGGGGGTATTAAAAGTCAGAGGAGAAATCAAGTGATATGGGAGTAGTTTAGGACCAATCTGTGTGGCCCTGCACTGCCCTAGACTCACAGGACATATGTGGTGATACAAGCTCACTGCTTTGAAGATTCTGAGCTGCAGATTCGGACCTCACAGAAGCCAGAAATCCAAGTGGTGTCTTCCTGTGCTAGGCCTTTTGAACTGTGTTTGAGGAAACACAGCATAACATCTAGTACCTTATTGCTAATACTATGCCCTATTTTCAAAGGCTTATAGTTTAACCCCCACTAACCTGCTCACTTCAATATGAAATGTGAAACAAGGCATCAAATGAAAGTAAAAAAAAACTGAAAAAGACAAGATAATCCAATCTTTATGCTAAAGATGGTTTCAGAGGATTTTTGTACTCCTAATTCCACTTGATACATTTGGACATTTTCTAATATGTATTTTTCACAATACACTGAGTCACTCAATTTACAAAAATTGTAAAATCATACCATATAATCCATTACATAGTTTCCCTAAATGGAAAGACAAAGAAACAAGAATAGATTCATCCACTTTGAAGGATTTTTCACAGAATGATTTCACTAAAGGGAGCACAGTTTGACTTCTGTCATCTGAAAAGCAAAACAAATGTGTAAAGTTAGCTATACATGTTTAATCACTTGAAGAAAAGCACATGTAACTTTCGTGATAAAAATGTGAATGTCCTTTAAAATGCAGCTGGGATTGTTTAGTTGACATTCGTATTTGAATTAAGGAAGAGTATTAGTGAAATTTATTTATTTTAAGGTAGCATCTTTTGAGGCCTGGATGATCAACCTACTTTTCTAAGGAAGGACCCTTATATCTGCAGAAGATGGGATAACAAATGTGCTCTGAGCTCAGGCTCTAACCTGCTGAATGTGGGTAAGTGAAGAAGCACACCCATCTTCTCCTTATACCAACAAACCTAATAGCCAAAAGATAGTCAGAAAGGATATATGGTGAGATAGAAGGTAAAGAGAGAGCTTGTGAAGGTGGAGCAGCATGAGTTCCACTACTTTGGATCCCAAGGTCAGCTAGAAATAAAACTTTTTAACCTACTAAGCTCTCGCATATTCCTCTGCAGGGCTGTCATAATCTCTGATCACTTTTTTAACCACTTTTTAACAGCCAAAACAGCTGTTACAGAAATAGTAATTAAAAAACTTCAAACAGAAGTATGAAATTGATAGTCTCAACAATTTGAAAATAAATGGGTACTATTGTAACCATGATATAAATGCTATCTGTTAAACAATCAATTGCATCCATTAGTATTCTCTCCAAACTACCTCCTTTTCATTAGGCAGTGTTCCATATATCTCAAGATCATATCATCTGAAGAAGTAGGTTTTGCCCATGAAAGCTCATGATACTATATCCATCTATCCATCTATTAGTCTCTAAGGTGCCACAGGACTACTCGTTTTTAAAGTTACAGATTAACACGGCTACTTCTCTGAATGTTCCAGGAAGGTGCAGTAAAATCAGAAAAACAGGAGTGGGAGTGAAAGCTGTTGTGAAAAATATTAGGTTTCTAATGAAGATAAACAATTGAACAGCTCTGAAGAAAACAAAGAATATTACTATATACAATACTAAGTGCTAAAAAGTGAGCAATGAGTAATAACAACTGTGGCATCACATAGACATATTAGGGATATGCTCTATGAGCCCATCTTTTGTACCTCACTGATTGTGAAAAAGCACTGGAGACGATATCTGCAACGGCAGAGCTAGTGTATCTGGCTCCTATTGCTTTCCTTAACCCCAGCAACCCTCTATATAGGGAACAAGTTTGAAAACAGTGCAATTCAATTATCCAAGATGCTCTCTTGGAGACTGCATCAGTTGTTGAAAACTAGAATGCATCCAATTCAAGCATCTCCAGCCTAGGCAAAGCTGGGAAGAGAATCAGGGATACATAGCTGGGCTTCCAACACTGAGCCAAATAAACTTAGGAGAGGATCTGGCTCTACTTCTCTAAAAATATAGGTTCACATACCTATAAATGTGTACTAATGCGAGAAGTATGGGGAATAAGCAGGATGAACTCAAAATGCTAGTAAATAAACAGAACTATGATATAATTGGCATCATAGATTGGATGAGATAATATGATGGGATAATATGCATGGCTGGAATATTGATGTATAAGGATACAACTTGCTCGGGATGGACAGGCATGGAAAAAAGTAAATGTTGCCTTATATATTATAAAGGTATACACTTGGCTTGAAGTTGAGATGGAAATAGGACACAGACTTCTTGAGAGTCTGTAAGTAAGGTTAAAGGGGGTAAAAAACAAGGGTGATGTCATAGCAGGCATATACTGCAGACCACATAACCAGGAAGAAAAGGTCCATGAGGCTTTTTGTGAAGAACTAACAAAATCATCCAAAGCTCAGGACTTGGTAGTGATGGGGGACTTCAACAATCTAAATATCTGTTGGGGGAAATAATACAGGTTATCCAACAAGTTCCTGGAATGTATTAGAGACCACTTTTTTATTTCAAAAGGTTGAGAAAGCTACCGGGGAGACGCTGTTCTAGATTTTGTTTGTCAGTCAGCTGGTATTTGTGTTTCATTTTCCTGGACCAGGGATTCGATGGTACTGCCTGTAAGTTCCTTTCCTGATTGCAAGGGAGAGGGGTCTCTGTTCAAGAATGGTGAGAACAACTGGGCTTAGAGAAGCTAAGCTAAGTATTTCCTCAAAGGTGGTGCCCCAAAGTCCATCATGATGATGGTGGTCAGAGCAAAGTGCTTGACCCCAGTGTGTGTATAGCGGTGGGAGGGGAGGAAGGAGTGGATTGTTGAACTTTTTTTTTCTTTTGAAAGGTAAAATCTGACTGCAGACTTTTGAAGACAAAAGAATTAATGCTTCAATTAGTTAACTACAAGCGGGTTCAGGAAATGGAGCATGAGGTGCAGCGTGCTCTCTCACTCTCTCTGTGCCTACACGGAGCTGGGGATACAGAACAGCTTGTTCAAGTGTCTGCAGATGGAGCACAAATCCTGTTTGCACAGCTCCATGAAAATCTCACACAGGAACTTTTTAATCCTTCTCACAAGATTTTTGGGGAGGCCAGCCTTATGCCATCCTCCGCGGTAGGACATCTTCCCACACCAAGCCACCAGTAAGTGAAGTGGTAGCATGGAACCACAAACCATAAGGTCCAGGTTTATAGCCGCATTCATTCAGCATTCACTCTCCATTACTTGTGGTGATTCGGAGAAGACTGATATCTCACATGGCAACCTGGAGGGGGAAGGATGAGGGGAACCTATTAGCAGTCTCCCCAAGACTACATGTGCTGAATACACACACACACCCCTCTCACGGACAGGAAAAGAAGAAGTATACAAACCATAAGGTCCAGGTTTATAGCCGCATTCATTCAGCATTCACTCTCCATTACTTGTGGTGATTCGGAGAAGACTGATATCTCACATGGCAACCTGGAGGGGGAAGGATGAGGGGAACCTATTAGCAGTCTCCCCAAGACTACATGTGCTGAATACACACACACACCCCTCTCACGGACAGGAAAAGAAGAAGTATGCCACATGTGCTGGACCCAGCATGTTGCAGACTCAGCATGAAGCCAACCCACCTCTTCTCCCTCCTGCCTGCAAACTGCTGCCTTGCCTGGGAAAGCACCATGTCCCCAGAAGGTCCCATATGTTGGACCCAGCACGTGCCAGACACAGTAGGACGCCACCCTCTGCCACCACTCCCTTCCCACTTGCAGTCTCCTGGCCTGGCAGGCTGCTTACCATGCTTGCCTGCCTCTGATCAAGTGTGTCCTGATGCTCCCCTGAGATATCTGGGCACCTACTATAAAGTGCCCACTTTAAAGCTAACATTTGGCCTTGCATGGAACAATTCTCCATTGTCTTTACAAAGACCTTTGGTGTATGGTAAGAGATTAGGAGTAGGCTTCACACAATGTATCTACTGTTACATCTGCCCTTGTAACTTGTCTTTGCAGCTGGGCTGACTGCCAGCTAGGTGTGTCCTCAACCTTACACTCCATCTGCCTACCTGGCTCACATCTGCAGGCACAAATGCATGAGCAAAGAATGTTCCTGGAGCAAATGGACTGCATGCACACCCTCATGGCAGAGATCCAGGCAGAGCGACAGGAACAGGTTGCAGAGTGGCAGGAGAGGAGGGCTCACTAGACAGCATAAAACAATGTTTTCCATCCTGACCACTGTCATGGAACCAGTGGCAATGTGCCTGAAGAGGGCCACTTCATAGAACCCCATCTGCCCTGAAGCTTCCACCCCCAGGGTTGCCAGGGGCCGCAGGGGCCCCAGGACATGGGGAATTTCAAGGGAAACCAGAGCCTCCAGGCCGTCAGAAGGCAGAAGATAGTCCCACTCCTATTCCTGAGCCCCCTTCTGGTTCCCAATTCATTCCTTTCCCTGTTGTTTTGCCCCAAATGAAAATTCCTGTTATTTGCACAATGGTCTTTTTATTGGTTAAATGCAGGGGATAGAGTGGTGTCGGGGATTAAAGGCAAAACCAGGAAACACAGTGCACCTTGTGAAAAGCCACAGGGAAGAGAGTCTCAAAAGAAGTCTTGCACAAAACTGTCCTTCAAAGTGTCTCTGATTCACATTGGCCCTTGCTGTGCTCTCCTTATGGTGCTGATGTCTGGCTGCTCAAACTCTTGGGCCAGGAGCTTTGACTCAGCCTCAAATCCCTAAATGGCCTCTGTAAGGATTGAACTCACAACCCTGAGTTTAGCAGGCCAATGCTCAAACCACTGAGCTATCCCTCCCTGCAAAGCTATCCCTCCCACCCCAACAGAAACATTATCCCCTTGTTCTCACACAAGTTGTGAAGCACACAACAGGCCAACACTACAAAGGGAATGTTGTGTTTGCTGAAATCCAAGCAGGTCAGGAGACTCCTGAAACACCCCTTTCAACATCCAAATGCACATTCCACCACCATTCTGCACCTGCTCAGACTATTGTTGAACTCCGTCTTGCTGGGAGCCACGCTGCCCATATAGGGGTTCATGAACGATGGAAGCAAAGTGTAGACTGGGTCACCCAGAATCACAATGAGCATCTCCACTCTCCAACTCGGATGTTCCAATTGGGGAAAAAAGTTCTAGCATGCATCTTTCGGAAGAGGCAGTACTTTCAAAACATGTGGGCGCCACGCATCTTTCCTGACCAACCCATGTCGATATCAGTGAAGCAGATTTTGTGATCTATGAGAGCCTGAGGTGCCATGAAGAAGTACCCTTTGCAACTGATGTATTCCGAGACACAGGGCCAAGATGGGTATGTGTGAGCCATCTATGGCACCACCGCAGTTAGGGAAGCCCATAGTGGCAAAGCCACTATGTTGCCCATGTTCCCCAGAGTCGTAACCCTCCATAGCAGGATGTTTTTGATGGCCTTGGCTACTTGTATAAGAACAGCTCTGACAATAGTTTCCCCAACCCCAAATTGATTCCTATCTGACCGATAGCTGTCTGGTGTTGCAAGCTTCCAGAAAGAAATTGCCATGCACTTCTGCACAGTAAGGTCTCGGAAATTGCCATGCACTTCTGCACAGTAAGAGTAGGTCTCATGTAGGTATTCCGATTCCTCAAGGCAGGGGCAAGCCTTTTACAGAGTTCCAGGAATGTGGCCTTGTGCATGTGGAAGTTCTGCAGCCATGGCTGATCATCCCATCCCTACATCACAATGCAGTCCCACCAGTCTGAGCTTGTCTTCCAATGCCAGAACTAGCATTATACTGTATGCAGGGGACTAACTAGCAGCTGTGCTCACACGAACATCAGGGTTTGCCTGAATGGTGCCTCCGCATCACGCCAAGGTTTCTGTATGCAGGGGACTAACTAGCAGCTGTGCTCACACGAACATCAGGGTTTGCCTGAATGGTGCCTCCGTGTCACACCAAGGTTCGTCCTTTTCCTCATGCTGGTAGAGCAACTTGCAGGTGCTCTTAAAGCACAGCATCATAAGGTATACCATAAGAGACATGAGCATGACAGTGCTTTCCAGAATACTGAGCTCCATGCTTAGAGTGCTCTGGCATCCAGTCAGGCAACCAGGGCACAAAAAGGCATGAGCATACTGTGTCCCCTTCATCTTGCGCAAGGAGGGGAAGAGTGGCCTATGGGACACAGCCTACATAAGTCCCTCTAACTAACCATAACAGAGTTTTGGACTCAGCGGAGTTTTGACCCAGATTGCTAAGATACCCATGGTGCCTTGCTCTCTGAGTCAACAGCAGGCTCCATAATAGGGAAATGCTACTTGAGACAACACTTGATTCTTGCCCGTAGTGAGGACACAGACCGTCACCTTCTCAAAATCAGGTGGTAAGAAGTTGGCCATGAGAGATTCAATCTTCTCTCGTAGTGTAGACGTGCTCACAGTGAGTAGTATCTCATTTGTTAAGTGCTTGCAATGGAATCTGTGACAGCACTCAAAGAGTTAGCCAAAATGAGTAAGGATATCAGAATCTGACCCTTACATCAAAAGGTTCTGGAGCAAGGACTATGTCAATGGAGGGATGATAAGAGTTACTATAGAGAACTTTCTGGGTGTCTGGCTGGTGAGTCTTGCCTACATGCTCAGGGTTTAGCTGATCCCCATATTTGGGGTCAGGAAGGAATTTTCCTCCAGGGTAGATTGGCAGAGGCCTTGGAGGTTTTTCGCCTTCCTCTGTAGCATTGGGTACAGATCACAGCTGGAGGATTCTCTGCATCTTGGGGTCTTCAAAGTATTTGAAAGCTTCAATATCTGAGATATAGGTGAGAGGATTATTCTGGGAGGGGGTGGGTGAGATTCTGTGGCCTGCACTGTGCAGGGGGTCAGACTAGATGATCATAATGGTCCCTTCTTAGCTTAAAGTCTATGAGTCTATTTCTCCAGGTTTTGCATAGTGTTGAGTGAACATTAAATAAAGAAAAAGTAATTATTCAAATATTTCTATCAAATGCCCAAAATCAATGAGTGCAAGGACCAAAGAAAGATAAAGGAACAAAATTACAACTGGTCCCTGAGTTACGAACGCATTATGGACCAAACACTTGGCCGTAACTCGGATTGGTCGTAACTCGGAACCCATTGAGTTACATTGTGACCACGCTGTTCGTAAGTGCGGGTCGCGTTTGTAACTTGGAGCCCGCATTTATGACCGCTTTGGTCATAAATGTGGATGGTCATAAGTCGAGGTGGCCGTAAGCTGGGGACCGGCTGTATAAATATGTCTACACTATGCGTTTTGCCAGAAGAGGCAATGCAAATGAAGTGCTGATGAGCATTTTCTCATGCTTCATTTGCATAATCTATTCCAATCTGTTTTTGCACAAGAGATTTTTGTGCAAAAACACGCAGTGTGGACATGTTTGTTTTGTGCAAAACCTCCTTTTTTAAATGCCTCCCGAAGAGGCATAAGGATCTTGCACAAAAAGTGTTTTTTCACCCATGCTGCATGTTTTTGCGCAAAAACCTCTTGTGCAAAAACAGATCGGAATAGATTATGCAAATGAAGCACGAGAAAATGCTAATCAGCACTTCATTTGCATTGCCTCTTCTGACAAAACACATTGTACAGACATAGCCTCAGAGAATAAATCTTAGTAATATAGACAGAATATGAAGAATTTTAAGCACACTTTTATCATCTTCTACATAATGAAATGTAATGGGACAGATTCTATAATCCAGCTATGGCAGAACTGGGCTCCGAATTTCTAAACTAAGACCTTACCTGCATCAAACATTTCAAGCAGATTAACTAAAGTCTCAAATGCGGCAAGACGCACACTGCTGCCTTCATCTCTGGCTAGTTCTACTAATTCAGGAAGCACTACATTTTTTGTTAGTTCTGTCCTGCAAAACAAGCAAAACGGTTAAGGAAAAGAAATAATGATAGTGTTTACAATCTCAAGCAAACATAACTTTCTCCTGGAGGCTAAACAGTTGCTCTTCACTTTGCTAACTATGAAAAACTGAAAAAGCTATAGGAAAACAAAAATTAAATTAAAAACAAATTGACCTCAAGGGATTTTGTAGCCAGTAAAAAACAGATTAAAGTTTAAAATACAAACCATCCCCTCTCATGACTAAAGAAAATTGCCTAGTTTATCTCCTAATAGATTGTACAAACAATGCAATCTTGAAAAATCAGCACAGTTATGATGATTTAATGTGGAGACACAGAAGAGTTCTTCTCAAGGGTATTCAGAAATGTCTCAATGCTACAAAAGAGCAATGTCATAAATGTAAATGACAAAATAGGAGCCTGGACCAGAGAAGATGTATGGGAATGACTTGTCCTCTTTAGATAAAATGGCACTAGCCAAAGGAAAGCCCTCCTACATGAAAAGCTTGATTGGCTGACCCAACATCTGTGTTGCGTCTTCAAAACCAGTTTTAGGGCAGTGAGGAAGGGGATCCTTCTTTCCCAGTTGCTAAAAGTATCTGTGATGGTGGCCTTGGAAACTTGGGCCTGTAATCTAATACAAATTGCTGTATGAAGGGCGGGAATGAAATGTCAATTGCTCATCAGTTTGGGGATTGAAGAGGGAGAGAGATTTTTATGGCCTGGAATCACCTGTACAGAAAAATGAGTTTAAGTGAGCAAAATGGGAGAGAGATTCATTTCCTTGTGCAATGGTACTAAACCAGGAGTAGGCAATAAAATGGCAGTCGTTCACTAGGGTAGCCCCTGATGGCCCACTGCCATTGTATTTACCTGTGCCTCCGCAGGTATGGATGATCATAGCTCCCACTGGCCAGGGATGATGATCCACGGACAACGGGAGCTGCAATTCCCTGTATCTGTGGAGGCACAGGTAAATACAGAGGTGTGGGAGCCCACCAGGGGCTAACCCTATGAGACCAGATCCAGCCTATGGGCTAATATTTGCCTATCCTGTACTAAAGTGTGGGCAGATAGAATCATTTGAAATACCTGAACGCATATATAATATACAATAGTTACCATAACACTTAGTTCTTATATGCTTTTCATCAGTGAGGAGAGGCAGAAATACTCTCAGACACAGACCATAGCAGACAGATACAGATACACAAGCAACAAAGAAGGTGCAGGAAGAGAGAAACAAACAGCTGTTCAGCAATTGATAATTATTTATTAAAATGTTTTTTCTTCTCTATTAAATTGCCTTTGTGGAGATTGTTAGCCACTAGTGGTACAGTTATCTCTTGCCAGCTGGCTTTCTGCAGGATCTATTCCCTTTATGCAAACCTCAGTTTTTCTATTTATAGTGTAGTTGTTCCTATCTGGCCTAAAAATGAGACCACAAGATGATGAACAAGATTTCTTCATTTCCTTTCTCAGAGTGTGATTTAGTAATTCAAGAGTTAGCCACTTTGAATAAAAAAGAGAACAGAATTTTTCCTTCTTCAGTCTCACTTAATGCCCTGGCCTTGAACTTTTTTTTTTTTGACCTATTATAGCTCACTGGGATTTAAAAGAAAAGAATGAAAATAAAACTCCTGCACTCTTGCATATATCCTCTTGTTTCCTTTATTTACAGGAGCCGCTTTTATCCTCAACAAAAAAGGCATTCGCAAGTTTATTTTCTGTTTCCTCTCCATAAATTGTCATGGTAGATGAAGATTCTAAGAGTGTGATATAGCCACTTGTAGTGTCACGCATTTTAATTAATAAATAAAACAGATTATTTGGTGGACTTTGTTAACTGTTGCCATGTAATCGCCTCCCCACATATACTATACATTAGAATTAGTTTTACTGATGTTAGTTTAGATTATTTTATAATCCACTCTCCCCCAAAGGAAATCATATTTTAGAATAGAATGTGTCACTTACACATTATTATCAACAATGCATCATAATGGCCTCCTACCTATGGATGGAGCCAAAGAAATTCAGTGAGACAATTACAGGAAACAATGGAAATGCAGACTGAAACCCAAAGGAAAGAAATATCAACAAGCAGGTGGATGGATGGATCAAGAAAGAAATAAGTGAGCATATGGTCAGAAATAGTGTGTGTGTGGAAGGGGCAAGAGTAAAATTAGACCCAAGCTGATGGGTAATGGGCACAAGCTGAAACAAATGAGACATTTCCAAAATGTGTTTCTGTGGATTTCCATTTTGGAAATATTAAAATTAAAACAAATATGGCAACTACAAAAAAGAACCTGTTGTTTATAGCTTTGTGATAAAAACATGTTATTTCAAAAAGATAATGCAGCTATCATTGGTGAGGTACCAATCCATACATTTTTCATGTTATTTTTACTCTTAAAACATATAAACATATGGATATGGATATATAACAATTAAAGTGGACTATAATAAAATTATCTTAAAATGTACATTCTGTATTGAGATAGACAAAGTGGGTGAGGCAATATCTTTGACTGGATCAACTGTGATTGGAGGAAGAGACAAATTTCAAGCTTCATAGAACTCTTCTTAAGGTCTAGAAAAGGCAACTAAAGTGCCATGGCAAAATACAAGCTGGGACAGATTTTTAAGCATAAAGCATTAACACTTGTTTGAAAGAAATCACATAAACATGAGGTGTGTAATTAATGCTTGAAGATTATCTTTTTCATCTGGTCAAATAAAATATATCAAAATAAAATTTATTTTAATTTCAACCATTATACTTACTTACACTAAGCTGTCTTTTGGGTGGAGGGAGATTAGGAAATAACAAATGCCATGAGGGCACTGATTATCCAACAAGTCCTTTGCATATATTGGAGACCATTTTTAATTTCAGAAGGTGGAAACAATTATTAGGGGAGAAGCTGTTCTAGATTTACTTTTGACAAATAGGGAGGAACTAGTTGAGAATTTGAAAATGGAAGGTAGCTTAGGTGAAAGTGATCAAGAAATGACACAGTTTGTTATTCCAAGAAATGGTAGGAGGGAGAACAGCACAATAAAGATAATGAATGCTGAGGTAGCAGACTTTAGCAAATTCAGACTATGTCTAGACTACAGGAGTTTTTTTTTTTTTTAAAGTGGCCCCTATTTTTTTAAAAAAAAAAAACTTCACCTGCATCTAGACTGCTGTTGCGTTCTTTCAAAATTAAATTGAAAGAACGCGGTGGTATTTTGACAGTGGTAAATGTCATTTTGCAAGGAAGAACACCTTTTTTCTAAAGCTCTTTCAAAAAAAGGCATTCTTGACTTCAAACAGGGCATTTTTGAAAGAGAGCTTCCAGATTGTGGCTGTCTAGACAATCTCTTTCGAAAGAAGTGTGTAGTCTAGACTTACCCTCGGGAGATAGTAGGTAAGATTCCATAGCAATTGAAAACAATTGAAGCCAGTTGCCAGTTTTTCAAGTTTATCCTGTAGGGTATGTCTACACTACCCCCCTAGTTCGAACTAGGGGGGTAGTGTAGACATACCCTAAGTGAGTAATCTGAATAAGTCTTCTAAAATCTCTCATGTGCTTAAATGTTGGCAGGACAAAGCCTGTACCCAGCAGCTATTCAAAGCACTTCTATTTACTTTTATATTCCATCTTAGGTAAAAGGTAACTGGCAAATTAATCTGGCACTCCCTGTACAGCATGGTTTTACTAAATATGCTAATTTAACCATGTTATTAATACTTATCTTTTGCTCTGATTAGTAGTTACACAGCTCAGTTCATGACACCAACTTTGAAGGATTAAAGACAAAAACTAAGTGTAAAAATATAATAAGAAAAGCCAAAAAGGAGTTTGAAGAACAGCTAGCCAAAAATTCAGAGTAATATCAAAATATTTTTAAATACATCAGAATCAGGAAGCCTGCTAAACAACCAGGGGGGCCCTTGAACAATGGAGATGTTAAAGGAGCACTGAAAGATGATAAAAGTCATTGCAGAGAAGCTAAATGAATTCTTTGCTTCAGTCTTCACCGATGAGGATATTGGGGAGATTCCCAAACCTGAGCCATTCTTTTTAAGTGACAAATCTGAGGAATTGTCCCAGATTGAGGTGTCATTAGAGGAGGCTTTGGAACAAATTGATACATTACTGACAGGTCACCGGGACCTGATTGCATTCACCCAAGTGTTCTGAAAACTCAAATGTGAAATTGTGGAACTCTTAAATTGTGGTTTGTAACCTATCCTTTAAATCAGCTTCCATCCTAATGACTGGAAGATAGCTAAGGTGACGTCAATATTCAAAAAGGGCTCTAGAGGTGATCCTGGCAATTACAGACTGATATGTGTAACATCAGTACCGGGCAAATTAGTTGAAATTATAGTAAAGAATAAAATTGTCAGGCACATAGATGTAATTTATCAGGGGAAAGCCAACATGGTTTCCATAAAGGGAAATCATATCTTATTAATCTACTAGAGTTTTTTGATGTGGTCAACAAACTTGTGGACAAGGGGAATCCAGTGGAGGTGGTAGACTTAGATTTCCAGGAAGCCTTTGACAAGGTCCCACACCAAAGGCTCTTAAGTAAAGTAAGTTGTCATGGGATAAGAGGGAAGGTCCTTTCATGGACTGATAACTGGTTAAAAGACAGGAAACAAAGGATAGGAATAAATGGCAAGTTTTCCAAGTGGAGAGACGTAAGTAGTGGGGTCTACTAAGGGTCTGTCTTGGGACCAATCCTATTCAATTTATTTATAAATGATCTAGAGGAAGGGATAAACAGTGACGTGGCAAAATCTGCAAATGATTCCAAACTGCTCAAGATAGTTAAGACCAAAGCAGACTGTGAAGAGCTTCAAAAAGATCTCACCAAACTAAGTGATTGGGCAATAATTCCAACTATACATACAATATGATGGGAACCAATTTAACTACAAATACTTAAGACAGAGAGATCTTGGCGTCAGTGAGGATAGTTCTCTGAAAACAGCCACTCAATGTGCAGCAGCACTCAAAAAAACAAATAGAATGTTAGGAATAATTAAAAAAGGGATAGAGAATAAGACAGAAAATATCTTATTGCCTCTATATAAAACCATGGTAGGCCCACATCTTGAATACGGTGTACAGATGTGGTTGCCTCATCTAAAAAACAATAGAAGCATTGGGAAAGGTTCAGAAAAGGACAACAAAAATGATTAGGGGTTTAGAACAGGTCCAATATGAAGAGAGATTAAAAAGACTTGGACTTCTCAACTTAGAAAAGAGGAGACTAGGGGAGGGATATGATAGAGGTCTATAAAATTATGACTGAGGTGGAAAAAGTGAATAAGGAAAAGTTATTTACTTATTCCCATAATATAAGAACCAGGGATCACTAAATAAAGTTAATAGGCTGCAGGTTTAAAACAAACAAAAGGAACACTCTGCACACAGTCATCCTGTAGAACTTTTTGTCAGAGGATGTGGTGAAGACTTTGACTTTAACAGGGCTAGATAGATTCATGGAGGTTAGGTCCATCAATGGCTATTAGCCAGAATGGGTAGGAATGTCCCTAACCCCCATTTAGCTAGGGGTCTACTAAGGGTCTGTCTTGGGACCAATCCTATTCAATTTATTTATAAATGATCTAGAGGAAGGGATAAACAGTGACGTGGCAAAATCTGCAAATGATTCCAAACTGCTCAAGATAGTTAAGACCAAAGCAGACTGTGAAGAGCTTCAAAAAGATCTCACCAAACTAAGTGATTGGGCAATAATTCCAACTATACATACAATATGATGGGAACCAATTTAACTACAAATACTTAAGACAGAGAGATCTTGGCGTCAGTGAGGATAGTTCTCTGAAAACAGCCACTCAATGTGCAGCAGCACTCAAAAAAACAAATAGAATGTTAGGAATAATTAAAAAAGGGATAGAGAATAAGACAGAAAATATCTTATTGCCTCTATATAAAACCATGGTAGGCCCACATCTTGAATACGGTGTACAGATGTGGTTGCCTCATCTAAAAAACAATAGAAGCATTGGGAAAGGTTCAGAAAAGGACAACAAAAATGATTAGGGGTTTAGAACAGGTCCAATATGAAGAGAGATTAAAAAGACTTGGACTTCTCAACTTAGAAAAGAGGAGACTAGGGGAGGGATATGATAGAGGTCTATAAAATTATGACTGAGGTGGAAAAAGTGAATAAGGAAAAGTTATTTACTTATTCCCATAATATAAGAACCAGGGATCACTAAATAAAGTTAATAGGCTGCAGGTTTAAAACAAACAAAAGGAACACTCTGCACACAGTCATCCTGTAGAACTTTTTGTCAGAGGATGTGGTGAAGACTTTGACTTTAACAGGGCTAGATAGATTCATGGAGGTTAGGTCCATCAATGGCTATTAGCCAGAATGGGTAGGAATGTCCCTAACCCCCATTTAGCTATAAATGGGTGACAGAAGAGGGATCACGTTAGGGTCACTTGTTGTGTTCCTTCCCTCTGGGGTATCTGGTATTGGCCACTGTCAGCAGACTAGATGGACCTTTGGTCTGACCCAGTCTGGCTGTTCTTATATTCTTACGTTCACAAAGAAAAATGATTCCCACAAATATTGGTACTTAAAAAAAATGTAAACTGCCCTTGAACAATACCTCTTAAAGCCTGTCATCAATGTCATCACCCCCTACCCCTTAGTACTGTTCATAGATTTTAATGCATCTATCTGACCCCTCCCTGCATGACACAAGCTAAAGAAATTCCCACCCAGTAACTTAAGCATCAAGCCTGCAATATTATGTACTGTTCACATCTCCTACACAAGGACAGAGAGGCAGACAGCAACATCTGTGTTTATAATAGGAATTTCTGTAACTTGTTGTACCTTATATGCCAGAGGTGGGCCATTATTTTTGCCATGGGGCCACTTCAAAATTTTTTGAAGTAGCCCTGGGCCGCACCAGAAGGGGCGAGGCCTAAACAGGAAGGGGTGGGACCTAAACAGGAAGGGGCAGGGCTACCCCACCCCCAGGCTATGATTCGTCTGGGAGTGAGGGAACCCCTTTGTCCCCCCTTCCCACTAGGCACCCACACTCTGGAAGAGGCTTGGTGTGCTCCCCCACCCCAGGCCAATCAGGACCTGGAGGGGGGAGCACAGGAAGTCTCCTCCAACTTATTCCCATAATATAAGAACCAGGGATCACTAAATAAAGCTTTGAAGTGCTGTGGGCTCCTTGCAGGTCCGGGGCAGGGCGAAGGAAGCTTAATGCAGCTCCTCTGCCCCCAGGGCCTTATTGGTCTATGGGTGGGGGAACGTGTAAAGCCTCCTCTGCTCTCCCCTCGTCCCTGCGATCAGCGCAAGGCGCTTCAAAGCACTACATGCTCCTGGCAGGGTGGGAGGAGGCTTTGCACTCTCCTGCCCCCAGGTCAATTAAGGCCTGGGGGCGGGGGACCACGTGAAGCCTTCTCCGCTCTGCCCCCGCCCTGTGAGCAGTGTGTGTTGCTTTAAAGTGTTGCATGCTGCTTATGGGGTGGGAAAGGTTTTGGGCACTCCCCAGACCCCAGGCACTAATTGACCTGGGGGCGGGGGATCAGCAGGGTCTCCATGGGCCAGATCCAGCCACTTGGTGGGCTGGATCTGGCCCGCGGAGGTCCTTTTGCCCACCCCCATTATATGCTGTATGATCTAGACGAGGTGCTATAAATTTTAACTTGTTTATAATTTCAACAAAACCTTCTATAGTTCTGCATTACTAACTTTTAAAAAATGAAGAGGCTTTCAAGCTTTATATAAACAGCTGGTATAGAATTTACATTTACTATAAGTAATCAAAACATGTTTATCATCCTTGTGCAAAGCGTACTGGTTTGTTTTTAAATAAGAACGATGGACTCCTTCCAGGTTGTTTTCCATCTTTGTATATCCACGCATTAAATAACTGGCATCAATTAAATCTTCCCATTGATTTCAGGGGGCTTTGAATCAGACACTTTTCAAAAAAAAGATTTTTGGTTCACGTGATAGTTACAAAAATACACTTCTGAATTACATAAAGTGTAAGTGAGTGAAAGCTGTGGGCAAATAATTGAGAGGCTGCAATGCACCCTGAATTTCGAATAATTTAACATGCATAGATACAAGTTTGAAAATGTTAAGAGTTTTAAATTACTATGAAATACTTTAGAAGTATATTTTACATTTTATAGTAAATTTTGCAAGTTATACTCACCCTATTCCTTGAGCTATATGTTCCAGTTGCCGACACATGCAGGATCGAACTTCATATTCTACATCCTGGCAGAGCGATTTAACGAGTGGAAGAATTTCCCTTTTAATGCTAAAAAAAATTGAACATTTTAAATTAATAATAACTAAGTATTTGTAAACATCACTTAGTTAACATATCTGATTCTAGATGATTCACTGTAATCTTAATTTGCTGTCTGAAGAGTACAACATTTAGTATTTATAACCTTTACCAATAAGTGTTGATGGGAAGGATGATACAGTACAACTGACAACTCTGAAGCTTATAATTATAAAGAGTACAGAACTTTACGGAGTAAAGTTTGTATTAAAATAGAAAATGGAAATTCCACAGACGAATATTATCCATATTCACCACCATTTATTAAAAGACACTATACTTAAAACAGTGTTGTCAAATAATTGAAATCCTTCAAATGAAATATTAACAAAGATACTTAATAACTAACTTCAGGACAATATTTAGACAGCTGCTGTATGATTATATATACATTGTATAACTTGAAATGAAAATCCCAGTTACGTTTATAATCATCAGATGTTGCAAACACAACAAAATGGGAATTTTAATGTAAATGGCTATTTTTAAAAATTAAAAATAGGGTGCAATAACATTATGTCCACTGGTCCAGACATTACATTGATCTGTTCCAGAATACAACAAATCAAACAGAACCCTCAAATCATCATGTATAGACTTTGCTGTAGCCAATCCTCTATTACATTTTAACAGATTTTGCTGTAGGACACAGATAGCTCTGTCCTTAAAAAATACAATCCACACAATGTGAATGGACTCAGCAGGACAGCATTATCCCAGCTGTGGATGTGAAACACAGAAACTTAGTTTGTAAGATAAACAGCTTTTTTTTTATTTGTTTTTACAGATCCACTAATTTAATCTGAAGGGACTATTCAGCCAGTCACTCAACTACAAAGCCGGAAACCATTTGTCAACCTCTTGCCCATAATACACATGTTTCTTAAGATACCCTGTCATGTGCAGAGAATAAGGAATGGATTTCCAGAACAACTGGTTTGTGCAGCTATGCCTTCCATCTCTTTCAGTACTTAAGGTGGAAGAGGCCCCAGTGAAGTAGGAATAAGTACATACTGGACACTTTGTTGCAAGACTTGAACTGCATAGCCCTGGATACTTTTTAGAGGTTTTAAACAGATCTTGTAATGCCAAGTCTATGCTTAGCATGCTGGAGATTGATCTTCTGGCACTTGATTTAGCTGTTCTAGAAAGGAGCCACTAAACCAAACACTGAGGATGCCCCTGGTCAGCGCTGGTATTTCTCAATTAATGAGGAGTAAGGGAAGTCGATGGGAACATTTGCTCCTGTCAACCTCTTGCTGTGGAGACAGTGTCAAGCTCAGCTTAAGGTATGTAGAGTCCAGCTATGTTATTTACGTAGGTGGAGTTGCATACCTTAAGCCAACCTTCTGGGTCTAGTATAGACCTGGCCTATATAAAAAAAAACCTTATTTCAGTCTAGACAGAATTTAAGGAATCTTGAAAAATCTTCTTAGAATATAAAAGAAAAGGAAAACTCCAGGCTGATATGGAAACTTTGTGCTCTCTTTGGGAAAGAAAATCTTGTGTTACTGCATGTGAGGTCCAAGTCATCTTGTGGTTGCACAGCATCTAGCACAACAGGGCATCAATTCCAAATAAACCTTGGTCACTATCACCACACTGATCATAAAATTAAATTTTAAAAGGAGTCCTACTTAAGAGTTTCTGGTAGCTAAGCTGTTCTACCCAAAGCAAGTATTCCCAAGAAGGGATCTCTGAAATGGAAAAAAATGAAACAGAACAATTCCCTTCAGTCTTAGGAAAGGTCATGATCAAAGTCAGATTCCAGTAGACAATAGTAAGTTTAACTCAATTTAGACCATATTCATGAACACTGTACTTTATTATTATTTCATAGAATCATAGAATAATAGGACTGGAAGGGACCTTGAGAGGTCATCGAGTCCAGCCCCCCGCCCTCAAGGCAGGACCAAGCTCCATCTACACCATCCCTGACAGATGTCTATCTAACCTGTTCTTAAATATCTCCAGAGAGGGAGATTCCACCACCTCCCTTGGCAATTTATTCCAATATTTGACCACCCTGACAGTTAGGAATTTTTTCCTAATGTCCAATCTAAACCTCCCCTGCTGCACTTTAAGCCCATTACTCCTTGTCCTGTCCTCAGTAACCAAGAGGAACAAATTTTCTCCTTCCTCCTTGTGACACCCTTTTAGATATTTGAAAACCGCTATCATGTCCCCCCTTAATCTTCTTTTTTCCAAACTAAACAAGCCCAGTTCATGAAGCCTGGCTTCATAGGTCATGTTCTCTAAACCTTTAATCATTCTTGTCGCTCTTCTCTGTACCCTTTCCAATTTTTCCACATCTTTCTTGAAATGTGGCGCCCAGAACTGGACACAGTACTCCAGCTGAGGCCTAACTAGTGCAGAGTAGAGTGGCAGAATGACTTCACGAGTTTTGCTTACAACACACCTGTTGATACAACCTAGAATCATATTTGCTTTTTTTGCAACAGCATCACACTGTTGACTCATATTCAACTTGTGGTCCACTATGACCCCTAGATCCCTTTCTGCCATGCTCCTTCCTAGGCAGTCGCTTCCCATCTTGTATGTATGGAACTGATTGTTCCTTCCTAAGTGGAGCACTTTGCATTTCTCTTTATTAAACCTCATCCTGTTTACCTCTGACCATTTCTCTAACTTGCTAAGGTCATTTTGAATTATGTCCCTATCCTCCAAAGAAGTTGCAACCCCACCCAGTTTGGTATCATCTGCAAACTTAATAAGAGTATTCTCTATCCCAATATCTACATCATTGATGAAGATATTGAACAGTACGGGTCCCAAAACAGACCCTTGCGGAACTCCACTTGTTATCCCTTTCCAGCAGGATTTAGCACCGTTAACAACAACTCTCTGACTACGGTTATCCAGCCAATTATGCACCCACCTTATCGTGGCCCTATCTAAGTTATATTTGCCTAGTTTATCAATAAGAATATCATGCGAGACCGTATCAAATGCCTTACTAAAGTCTAGGTATATGACATAAAATAAAATAACATAGATATTCATGGTACTATGCAAACACATGCATTGCAAAAACTCTAATCTTGCAAATCGATTAATTGCAGACTGACTCAGCATCTATACCAAGTCAACTGTTATTAATGATAATAAAAAATTATGGTCATTCTGGGACCATAAGCTTCCTTCCACTTCACAGAAGGATTCTGATGTACAATTCCTCCTGGTAGCTGGCATTATGAACTGCTTTACTTGGTCTTTCTAAGAATTCAGTTGTCCAGAAATCAGATTTGGATTTTCCGTAAACCATGGTCTGTGCATGCTTAAAGCATGACACAAAGCTCCACTATGTTCTACGTAGCAAATGAAGATTCTTTTGGTGTTGGAAGAAGTTATTCACCTTGTGCAGTGACGATATTCTTCAAGATGTGTGTCCCTGTGGGTGCTCCACTTCAGGTGGGCACTGGTGCATCCTCATGCTTGCGACTGGAGACTTTTCATAGCAGTGCCCTGCATATGCAGTCAGCACCTGGTGGTGCCATTGGTGTCCATTTACTGTGCATGCAGTGCGACTCCCTCCCTTCCTTCTTTTCTGTGGAAACTGATATACAGCCTCCAAAGTAGGGGAGATGGGAGAGTAATGCAGCAGCCACAGGGATACACATCTTGAAGAACCATCATTACTTCACAAGGTGGGTGCTCTACTTCAGGTGTCTGTAGAGCAGTGTCCATTCTGAAGAGATGGGCTTTGGAGCCATATTCCAGACATAGTAGAAAGGACAGCTAGTCCTAAATATGGCCATAGGGATTGGTCTAGTGGCTATGACATAGTGTCTAGCAAAAGTGTGCTCGGAGGACCAGGTGGCTGCTCTGCAGGTATCAATAAGTGGAATGCCTTGGAGGAAAGCTGTAGTTGTTTATATCATTCTGGTGGAAAGCACTGTTATCATCTGCAGCAGTTATTTGTTATGAATAATGTAACAGGTATGCATGCACAAAGAGATCCATTTGGAAAGCCTTTGGGAAGTTATGCTCCCTTGGAACATTCAACTATGGAGAAAAAGAGTCTAGTGGACTTTCAGCAGGGTCTATACCCGGCAAGACAGAATGAGAGGGCACATCGAATGTCAAGCATGTGGAGGGATGCTTATAGTGCATTCTCATGTCATGTGGGAAAGAAGAAAGGTAAATGCATAGGTTCATTGAGCGGGAGGTGGATGCTACCTTAGGCAGGAACTTGGGGTGAGGTTGTAAGGTGACTTTACCTTTGGTAAATATGGGAAAGGAAGGGCCAGCCATAGGGGCAGCTATTTCTCCAACATGTATAGCTAATGTGATTGCCACAAGAAACACCACATTCATAGACACATGAAGGAGAAAACAGGTGTCCAGTAGCTCAAAGGGAGCCCTTGGGAGGCTCTTGAGGTCGTGGTTAAGTCTCAGGGTGGAGCAGAGGCTCTAATCATGGGGTATGTGCTGTGAATTCCAATGAGGAAGCATTTTGTTATGGGATGGGAGAAAAGTGGGGAGTCCCATATATTGGGACATGAAAATGTCTGTGTGCTGGATGGATTCTTATATGAAAATATGCATCCTGGAGGTGGAGGGCCAAGAACCAGTCTCCCCTGTCCAGCACGGTATAATCATAGCAAGAGTGATCATTTTGAACCTTTGAATACATAGAAACTTGTTCAGTTTTCAGAGATTGAGTATTAGTGTCCAGCCCTCTGTTTTCTTTTGCATAAGGAAATAGTTGGATGATAAGAAGGAGAAACTAGCTATGGTTAGTTGAGAACTGGGATGAGAAAAAAAATCAAAATTTTTAAGTGTTTGTCGTTCTTTTGTAGGTGAAGAGAGGGAGCTCCATCTGCTGCTGAGGCCAATAGAGAAAGAACTGAAGGAAATGTGCCATGCATGCAGTCAATGGGCGCCAACAGCACTACCAAGTGCCAGCTGTGCATGCATGGCGCAGCAGGGCACTAGTACAGAAAGTCTCTGATCATCAGCATGAGGATGCACCAGCACCTGAAGTGACGCACCCACAGGGACAGCACTCAAAGAAGAAACCTTCTTTATGCTTGCATCTATTCCTCCAAATTCAATTAATAGAACAAAATTAGGTATAAGGTGTAGAAATTTACTCCAAGCACAATGCTAAATGGCCCATTTGTTTACCTTTCATGGTATGTTAAGTTGTAGCTTCTTGGCTAGATTTAAAGTAGCCTCACAAAACAAAACAAGAACGACCAAAAACCTTGAAGGCCAATGCACACACAATTTAGACTTCCTTTTTCATGGAAAAAGGAACAGCTTGGTAAAGGTAATCATTTCCATTTCATTAACCCGGTCATAGTTGGATCTGGTCAAATAAAAGTTTAGACCAGAAAACAGATGTAAAACTCATCTCTGTAACCCTACTATCTGTTTCTTTTTCTTTCTCTTCATGCATTTGATGAAGTGCGTTACAACACCTAAAAGCTTATGCCATAATAAAATGGTTAGCATTTAGGTGTCACGGGACTCCTTGTTGTTTTTGCTGAAACAGAATAATTCTCCCAACAGCTGCACAATCACCAGCTCTACACAAACTATGCTAGTATAGAACATAAGCAGGAGTCAAAGGCGACCTTTATATTCTGCTCTTAGGAGAAAAGAAACATGTATTCTGCAACAATCCCCAAGGGTATGTCTACGCTAGCTCATTATTTCGAGCTAGGTAGGTAAATGAGGGCAACCGGAGTTGCAAATGAAGCCCGGGATTTAAATATCCCGGGCTTCATTTGCATGTTCCTGGGCGCTGCCATTTTTAAATCCCCCTTATTCCACGAGGAGTAACAGTTAATTCAAACTAAGGAGTTAGTTCGAATTAACGTTTAACTGCCGTGTCTAGCCGTGGGCAGTTAGTTCAGACTAAGAAGAATTTAAAAATGGCAGTGCCCGGGAACATGCAAATGAAGCCTGGGATATTTAAATCCCGGGCTTCATTTGCTTACCTAGCTCGAACTAATGAGCTAGTGTAGACATACCCCAAGAAAGGTTCCACCCACATCCCAATAATAGGTACTGCAAAGAGGGGTCTCATAGAGCTAACTATAACAGCCTTCTGCCACCTTAAGATTCCACACACTAGGAAACACTCAGCTGGCCACTTAACCAAGTTTTGTATTTGCTCTGAGTTGCTGGAGTAGCATACAACAGACTTGAGATAAGATTCTTCAAATTTTCCATCAAGAAATTTATATTTAAAATATGTTACCAGATAAAACATCTAGTTTCAGAAGGGGCTTGGGGCCAATAGAAAGATGGAAGCATGTTTAAAGAATCTCCCCATCAACAGAAACTGAACCGATACTTGTGTTTAAACCTTGGAGAACCTGTTCTGTTCCCTAGCATGAGACCTTTGTGACTTGTCTATTACCCAGGGAAAGGGGAGCCCCTTCCTCCATTGGAAAGTGGCTTTCTTTGGCAGCTCATCTTTCCAGTTGCTAGAGATGGAGATCCTTGTAGAACAGAGGTGAACAACCTGAACCCCGCAAGCTACATTCGGCCCATCAAAGCAATCTGATTGTGGGCTGTAAGACATTTTGCAGACTTTGACCATCTGCAGGCATTGCTCCCTTTAGTTCCCAATAGCTGTCGTTCTCTGTTCCCAGCCAATGGGAGCTGTGGGAAGTAGCAGCCGGCAGATCCCTCCTGTTCCTTTGCCTGCATGTGCTGCTTCCCACCACTCCCCTTGGGTGGAAACAGAGAACTGCAGTCTCTAGGACCTATGGGGAGCAGTGGCTGTGGACCGCTGAACACCAGCAAAATGTCTTGCAGCCCAGAATCAGATTACCCTGATGGGCTGCAAGTTACCCACCACTGCTGAAGAGGGATCTGCAGTCTGAAACTTGGCCCAGAAAGACAGATCTCAAGGACAGGGGAGGCAAGTTGTATGGGCCTGTGATGCCTGGGCTCCAGGAATGTTTGGAGTTGGGAACCCAGTTCCACCAATGTTTGGAGCTGGGTCTCTCTTCTGGCTCTGCATGCCACCCCCACACGCCTTTCCTGGAGCATCCTCCAGCTCCCATTGTGCCTCCCCCAGGTCCTCTGCCGCTCCATGCTGTGCTTTCTCTCTGCAGCTGGCTGAAGTATTAACCAGAACAGCTCCTTCTCATACTTCCTTATATGCTTGGTAATATCTGCTGGTGCCACAGCTCTCACTTGGAGTCTAGACACTGCAGCTCCTTTCTATCTTAGACAGTGTGTTGAGGTGCTAAATTCCCATCCCTGCCCCCTCCTAAACCCCAACTTCCGCCCCTGCCCAGAGCCTGCACCAAACACCCACAGTCCTTCCTAGACCCTACACCTCTTTCTGTACCCCAACCCTGAGCCTGAACCACTTTTGCACCCAAACTCTCTTCCAAAGCCTGCACTCACCTCACCCAATCTCCCTCCTTTAGCCAGGGGATGGCGATGGGACTTGGACCTATTCTGGGCACCACGAAAAATTATACTCAAGGGAGTCCTTTTCTTCAGCTTGAGACTCTGGGAGTCAGAAAGGACCCTGAAAAGGCCGCAAGGACATTAATCTTTCATTTACAATCCTGGGGTTCAGTTATTAATATTGCCTGAATAGGAAAGGCTAGCTGAAAAGGGCCTGTTTAATATAAGGCTGATTAAAGAGATGGCAGAGGTTAATTAAGCAGTATGGCTGTTTTGGGACAGATAGGGTCTATAGCTTTTACTGCTGTTAGATATTTCCAGGTTGTGCATTGAAATCCAAGTCACTGATTTTCAGTCTTGGAGGTCAGGTCAACAGAAGCTGGTTGCTGTTATGTCCCTATTTAGTTATGACAAGGAGAAAATCCCAAGCAAAGAATTCTGAAATCTGGGCACAAAACTAAAAATGTAGAAAAAATATTTTGCCTTTAAGTGGAAAGAGCTTTAAGTTAATCAATTTCTTTACTGGATATTTTAAAATAGATTTTAATAGCACATTTAATCAAAAGGCTTGGAAAAGTCTGACTGAGGAGACAGAATTGCACTGGCATGCTCATCAGGATTTGGGATGCTTGACAGCTGTTTTTGATAAGCAAGGATAGCTATGCATCCAAAAGCTGAAAGCAGGCTGAAAAACCATTGTTTAGATCTATGGACCTTCCTTCATAGAACAATAATCTGGAGAAATGTCATGAAAAATGTGTTCCCAAGGTAACCTCGACTAGTAGAAGAATGTACACCAAGAAGTTGAAAGCTGATGACAATAGCAACGTTTGAACATGCTGAGTACTGTGACCTGCCTAATGAACATTGCTTACAGTTAATTAGTATTATACTGACTAGATCTGGAAGAACAAAAGCATTCAATTTTTGTACAGTAGAAAGAATTATGTAAATCTACTTCTTGTAACATTACCCACTAGCAAAGACATTGTGGTAAACATTAAATCTGAAACACAGAGACACAAACTACTCACATATGAGCTTCAAACTTGTTAGCTAATTTTCCCAATATTTTACAGCTAACTAAGCGAGACTGAAGTGTTTGGGAAAGTTGTGCCTTGGAAACAAGTGGATTCAGGATCTATATGGAAAAAATGGGAGGAAACATTTAAACACTAAAAAATGTATTCCTGTTTGAAAAAAATCCAAATTTATATACTACAAATGTCCATTACTTTCCACAAAATTAGACTAAAAGATCATACTAAAGCACACATGAAGACTACTAAGAACCTTGCATTTTAATATTCAGTACCAACTATAGTATGTACCAAAGGTATCTTGGCCCAAATTCTAGTTTATGATTCACATCACAGTTATAGCCATTATATCTTTGCAATATCACATCTATCTTCTTGTGTTTTTATTTAGGGAATAATACCATAAGCTTATTTATTTATATTATTTGGGGAATTTTCATATAAAGGTGCCCTTGTATGGAAAAACTTAGAGGAGGAGGAGGAGGAGGAGGGAACAGAAACAGTATGAAGCTCTCTGTCAAGTTTTATCCAAGGACATCCACTTTGATGTGGATTTGGTGGTCACATACCCTTCCAATCTTGGATATCTCTGGGATTCCTAGGGAAGAGATTCACTTCCATCTCTAGCCATTACCCACTCCTGCTTTTGCTGGAGCTGTGCTACTGTTTGCTGAATCTCCTCCATGACTGTAGAGGATCAGATGTCAGAAGAAGATAATATTCCTAGTTATATTATCTTCTGATGAAAAATTGCCATAGAAATTCATATGCAAGTAGGGGAAGATGCTACAAAGTAGGATACCTCCCTTACTCTGCCTTAACTCTTCATCCAAGCTTTTATGTACAATCCTAGCAGAAGAGAATACACAGGCAAGGAAAGGGGTACCAGTGGTGCGTAAGTGGCCCTTCCCATCATCTTACTGACAAAAATTCTGAGATCAGTGTGCTGAGATTTCCTACTGTGAAAATGTGAATGGATGAACAAGCTAGAATTAGTACATGTTACTCATTATAACACTTAGTAAGGAAACAAGTCATACAGGCTTTGTAGGTATGATATACTATTATTATTTAATGTTTGAACAATGGAAGAACCCAGAACATGCCAGGCACTTTCCAAATATTTAAGCAAGACATAGTTTTTTCCTCTAACATACTTTAATTTAAAACTGTCCTCCAATTTCTATTTACAATAAATAAAACAAGAATCTAGGGGTATGTCTACACTGCACACTTCTTTTGAAATGAACTATTCTGGAAGAAATACTCTGAAATAGCTTATTTCGAAATAACACGTCTACACTACGGGGAAGCCTCAAAATTAGTTCAAGGCAAGCTTCCCTAATGTGGACGCAGTACTTCGATTTAGAGCTCCAGGAGGCCCTGGGGAGTAATTACTTTGAATGGACCTGAGGAGACGCTATTTCAAAATAGCAGAAGTGGAGCGTCCACACTACTGCTATTCTGATATAGTTATTTCAGAATAGGTGTTATTCCTCATGGAATGAGGTTTACAGAAGCCGGAATAAGCTGTCCATTATTTAAAATTTAGTTTGAAATAACGGAATTGCTGTGTAGACACTTGCATTGTTATTTCTGAAAAACAGCCATTATTCCGAAATAACGCTGTTGTATAGATACACTCTTGGTGTCACAATGCAAAACCAAAATAATTAAGAAAGGCCTTCTTACTTAATGTGATCTTATCCGACCAGCGTGTTAAAAGTGCCTCAGCGATTGTATTATATACAAGGGATACATCTACACTGGCATGATTTTGTGCAAGAACTCTTTTGCGGAAGAGTTCTTGTGCAAAACCTCTTCCAGAAGAGAGCGTCTATACTGGCATGTGCTTTTGCGCAAGAGCATTCTTGCCAGTGTAGACACTCTCTTGCACAAGAAAGCTTTGATAGCCATTTTAACCATAGGGCTTTCTTGTGCAAGTAATTCATGTTGCCTGTCTACATTGGCCTCTTACACAAGAACAGTTGCACAAGAGAGCTTATTCCCGAGTGGGAGCATAATAGTTCTTGCACAAGAAGCACTGATTTCATACATTAGAACGTCAGTGTTCTTGCGCAAAAACTCGTGGCCAATGTAGACAGGCAGCAAGTTTTGGCGCAAAAGTGGCTGCTTTTGCGCAAGATCGCACCAATGTGGACAGCCAAGGTACATTGTTGTGGGGACATTTTATCATTTTACTGTGATTTCAGGAAAAAGCAGCAAGCAAGTTGACATTTTCCCTAAGTGATTGTTTTTTATGCTGCACTACAGAAAGACATTGGTTCCAGCAATAAGAATTTATTTGGTTATAGTTAGACTTTTACTCTTTAAAAGAAATTTTAAAGTAATGACGGATTTCATTTACAAGAACATTTTAGGAATGTTTTTATTAAGCTCAAATTATTGTTAAGGGGCAGCCGACAATTCTTCCATACTCCAGGACCATAATGTAGAGACAAATATACAGTGTTTTCAGGCTTACTTCCAAATAAAGACCTTTAACCCACTGAGAAGAATTTAAATCTCAAGTCTATTACACCTGCAGCATAAAATTAGTTTCAGTGCCAATCCAGAATTTTAAGTTACAAAAACAAAAGCTCTTTTGTTAGTAAATGTGGAAGAATGTTTTATAATCTTTAAAATTGAAACCTCAAAATTGATTATACCTCATTTAAAAATATTGTAGCCATTGTTTGTTAATGTATACAAAAACCTTTAAAGAAGCCCCCTCCTCCCCAATACATTGCTTTACTACACAATGTTCTACATACAGCTTGATTTTTACAGGTGTTGACTGCCTGTTACTTCTTTTGACACAAATAGGAATTGCAGTTATTCCATTAGATCATTATTCATAAAAATATTTAATCTATTCTCCATTAATGTTTCCATGAAAAAATAACATTACCTCATGTCTGATGGTTTCTTTTGGCAAGACTTCTATTACAGCAAGAAGAGTTTCCAGCCATGCATTGCTGACACCTGTTAGACATAAATGGACTATGTGTTACGTTATAGATGAGTTGTATGAAACAACTTCTGAGTTGATACAGCCAGCTATTCAGTGAGTTTCTAAATTACATTACAGTAACATTAAAAAATATTTACACACCTCAACCTGTTTGCACATATATCATTTGAAAAGCAGATTTTTCTTGCATCTTGGGAAAGAGGGGGAATTATTTTATTACTTGGTTTTGGAACAACTGTTTGAAAATGACAGTTTCCCTCTACTTAGAAATAGCATGCTTTTAAATGTACTTATGTAAAACTTTCTATTTTTGCTGCAACTGTATTTTTTTCCTGTATTAAGAAAATAATTTCCAAGAAGTCAAAAGAAAATCTAAAAAAATCTCAATATTATCAGGAAAATACTGTAAACCACTTGTGCATACTCAAGTACAGATTCCAATTAATTCACAGGAAGTTTGGACTAATGACTTCAAGATTTTGTGCACCAAAAATGTATTTATTTGTTTTATTCAAAATGAAGGAAACTTTCAGCTAAACAACAGCATGCAGGAAGGTAAATATATAGAAAACCTTTTATACTGTAAGCCAATCCACATCTAGTAATAAATTCAAATTGGTATAAATTGTATGTATTGTTTTAAATAGTACTGTACAGCCACTAAGGACACATAAATCACAAAGAAACAATCAGTTATCAGCATCATGACCCTGACCTGCATCCCTATGTTCCAGATTCTGTAGAATGATGTGTAGAAAGGAGTGGGAATAAGTATGAATGGACACTGACTCCTCTTGCAGAATAGTCAAAAATGAAACAGCAGCTGTCAACTGCATTTCCACCCCTGCAACATGCAGGACCTCCTGTATAATCAGAAAGGGTATTGATTTAAAAGGATGAGACAAACACATTTAAATAAAATTCCAATGTTTATTCAGATACTAGGAATCAGTGTGTAAGATGTTAGATACATAACTGTCCTTACACAACCCTTTCCTCTTAACATCAATCATTTAGAGATACTCTAATCTATTTTAAACTACAGCTTCACAAATTCAGGCATCTTAGAAATCATAATGATATGAAACTTTCAAGACAAATAAATTAAAGTGGATCATAATGTTTGACATGGATTAGTTAGCAAATGTAGCACACATTATAATTTTACTAAGCTTTTTAGTTTTGTCTTGTTCAGTTACTTGTTTAGATATAGATGTTTTCTTTATGTATAATAAGAAAATGTCACAACAGACTACAGAGCATTCATTTCAGTAATTAATGGGTTCGAGAGAGAAATATTGTATCTGGGAAGTGATACCAAATTGCCCAAAGTAATTTAAATTTCCCTAATCAATGATACTTTATCTATAAACAGAGAGGTGTGTAATCAACTTTATCATGAACCAATCTTACTTTTTAGAAACTCTTTCAAGTGTCTATACCAGAGTCAAATAATAATAATGATCATATCATAGAGAAATGTGAACAAGTGTTCATTTCTAGACAGTTGTCAGAATGAAAATTAAAGACTATATCTAGCTCTTTCAAAGTTATTTAACATATCACAACATCTTCTATGTATAACCTGTATGAGTCACTACTCACTACCAGTATGTACTTTCACTAGATATTACTAGAATTTTATTTCATAATTTACTATTAAAATATTATGCAAGTTTTACTTGTGAATCAAACCTAGGTAACACTCAGCTTTCTATCTAGACCAACTGATCCTAGCCTGCCATTTGATACTTTTTACAGATACTTTTTTGATTCTTTTAAACATACATATTGGGAGACAAATAACATTCCAATATTTAACAAAAGAGCAAATAAAAACAAACAAAAAACCCCTCCAACAGACTTTCTTAACAATAAACCACTAATCACAGGCAAAAATGTCGACAAAAGATGATCCTGGCTTATGATCAGCTCAGACCTGTCATGTGGTGACTTAGTACATTTATCTTTTATGTAATAAGAGGTGAACTATAAAGAAGTCTCGGTACAGAAATGTAAACCAATCATACTGTATGTGCAAATACCTTTTTACAGAGTAGCTGAGCTAAAGAAAAACTGTTATTCATCTCAAGAGCTAGTTGTGGGTATTTATAGCGGTGGATATTTCTACATTATCCAAGTAAAATTAAGCTATGCCACACAGCTTACCAACTAACAGTATAATAAAATGTTCATATTCCTTAAAAGGGATAAGTTGCCATTTTTTGTCATTAAAGACCATACATTGGCCTTGTACAACTTCCATTAACACTACTGGGTGTATTACCAAGGAACTAGGTCAGTATTTGGTCTTAGAACAGGGGATCAAAATAAGTAAGCACATAAAAATCTGGAAATACAACAGAAAGGATTTCACAAAACAATTAAGAAATAAGGCAGAAGAAACAGGGCCTAAAGACATGAGTTCTAGGATACAGTTTTTCTTTTAAGACAGCAGAGACAATTCCGCCCGTTTAGAGTTATTTAAGAAGCTCTATCCCACCTCCCATCCCTTGTGCTAAGATTCAGGTGAAAGACAGGATTATTAATACAGTCTAACTATAAAATGGGCTAAATGCAAACAATGCAATTCAGAACACTGTATGACTGAGTTTATCCATATGACACACTTTCCATACTCAAAAGCTTTTTAAATTGTGGGATGAAATGGACCTTTGGAAACGTACATTTCTGCAATGTTAAGCAGAAGTTTTAAAAAAAATCAACAGATTTTGTTAGAATAAAAGGTAGCTGACATCAATTTTAAATATGTTCACTGGGTACACAACATAAATAGTGTTACTTACCAACAACTCAAGATTCCAAATGGGTAGCTCCTCCACAGATCCACACTCTCTGGATAATCATGTGTGAGAGCCACATTCTCTGGATGTGCCTCCTCATGGACCTCGGGAGACATTGAAATGTAAATTTCTAGATTGCTTAAACATGTGCCTGCATTGATGTCTGCACTGAGAACTGTAAAGTTCCACCTATTAAAATGTGTCTGGCTTCCATACCCACTTCAGTTCCATAGACCTCAAGTTGGACATAAAAATGTATGACAAAAGACATCAGGTTTGTGAGTGTAGATCTGTCGAGGAGGATACCCATTTGGAGAATTATGATTATGGGTAAGTAACTTCTTTTTCTAGGCATGGGATCTCCTTCACAGATTCCCACTCTCCAGTGGCAAAAAAGCACTAACCAGCAGACTCAGACAGAGGGATTCAGTGTGACGTCAAAAGAACCAGGTGGTTGCTGAACTGCCCTATTGAAAAAGACTATGGTCTAGCAGTTAATTTCAGGCAGCTATCGTTTCAAAATGTAGAAAGCACTGCAGATTTCCTGTATTGGAACAGATGAAATTTCAACACTAGTGCAATATCGTTTATGTCCCTTTGGAACAGAATACTTCCTTGAAAGAATGCTGCAAGTGAAAATACAGTCTATCAGTTAGTATCTATGTTAATAATGCATAACCTTTCAATTAGGATCCAAAAGACACACACAGTGAGGCCAACAGCCACTGCAGGCCCTAGGGCAAGGTATGCTGGGGAGGCTGGCTCCTGCACTCAGAAGTGGGGGAGGGGAGCTGAGGCAGTCAGCCCTCAGCACTACCGAGACCACTGTAAGCTCCCCTTCACACCCCAACCTTTAAAGCTGCACAGAGCGGCACTCCAAAAGGGCCTGGGGCTTGGGCTATTGCCATTGTTTAGAGTCACCCAGCCTCGGGGCATCTGCCCTCTTGCCTCCTCCCCCGTCAGTGGACCTGGACGGACAGACGGACGCACGCACACACACATGCACACACAGAGAAAGTATAGAAGAATGGTAAAAAAGAGGACTGATTAGTCTTGAACCCAAAGTCATTTTTGAATGTAAGCTGGGGCTAACAGCACCATCGCTACTAAGAAGAATTTGTCAACAGCAACTGCAGCTTGCAACAATGAAAACTTGATGGATAGTAAATTTTAAAAATAATTTCCTAGATTACAAAATAATTTGTTTTGAAAATGGCTTCAGAATGGATCAGATAGCACAGGGGAAAGGCTTGCTGCATAGGAGTCAGATAACTGAAATAAGAAACAAAAACATTCAGGATTTTGAGAAGTCAAAGTACTGTATACTTGAAAAGATGGGCTCTCTTTCCTTAGAGGTATGTAAAGACATACATTAGTTAACCAACTGCAGCTCTAGATCTAAATTAGTTGATTTTTTTATTCTGAAATCATAACATTTGGAAAAATAATTCTTAATAAAAAAATTCAGAAAGACAAATGCCTTCAAAAACCTATTTCTGGTGGTACAAAGATCTCCCAAACCATGGGGATCAAACAGAAAGGGAGCTGTCAATGCCAAATACAAAGAAATCATTAGGTGCATTGAACATATACTAAGGATTATGTCTAAGCTATCTATACATCAGCATTTCAGTGATTATCAAGGTTTGTGATGAAGTATATGGAGATATCCAGAGAGTGGGGGATCTATGTATGAGAACCATAAGAAGACACTGTTTTTTTAACTATAGAGACTGTACAAAGATTTAATATACAGTATAGCCACCAAAATTCAGGGCCTACTTGAAAGTGGAAGTTTAAGACAGTATGGGGGACACTGATCATGAAATAATAGAGTTCATGATCTTAAGGAAAGGTAGAAGGGAGACCAGCACAATTGAGGTAATGGATTTCAGGAAGGCAGATTTTGATAAGCTCAGAGAACTTGTAGGTAAGGTCCCATGGGAAGCAAGACTGAAGGGAAAAACAACTGAGGAGAGTTGGAAGTATTTCAAAGGGACGTTGTTAAGGGCCCAAAAGCAAACAATTCCGCTGTGTAGGAAAGATAGAAAATATGGCAAAAGACCAGCTTGGCTTAACAAGGAGATCTTGCACAATCTCAAAATAAAAAAGGAGTCATATAAAAAATGGAAACTAGGACAAATAACAAAGGATGAATATAGGCAAGCAACACAGGAATGCAGGGGCAAGATTAGAAAGGCAAAGGCACAAAATGAGATCAAACTAGCTACAGGCATAAAGGGAAACAAGAAGACCTTTTATAAATACATTAAAAGCAAGAGGAAGACCAAGGACAGGGTAGGCCCACTGCTTAGTGAGGAGGGAGAAGCAGTAACAGGAAACTTGGAAATGGCGGAGATGCTCAATGACTTCTTTGTTTCGGTCTTCACCGAGAAGTCTGGAGGTGTGCCTAACGTAGTGAATACAAGCAGAGAGAGGGTAAGTTTAGAAGATAGGATACACAAAGAACAAGTTAAAAATCACTTAGGAAAGTTAGATGTCAGCAAGTCACCAGGTCCTGATGAAATGCATCCCAGGATACTCAAGGAGCTGATAGAGGAGGTATCTGAGCCTTTAGCTATGATCTTTGAAAAATCATGGCAGACAGGGGAGATTCCAGAAGACTGGAAAAGGGCAAATATTGTGCCCATCTATAAAAAGGGGAATAAGAACAACCCAGGAAACTACAGACCGGTCAGTTTAACGTCTGTCCCAGGGAAGATAATGGAGCAGGTAATTAAGGAAATCATATGCAAACACTTGGAAGGTAATAAAGTGATAGGGAATAGCCAGCATGGGTTTGTGAAGAACAAGTCATGCCAAACTAATCTGATAGCTTTCTTTGATAAGATAACGAGCCTTGTGGATAAGGGAGAAGCGGTGGATGTCATATACCTAGACTTTAGTAAGGCATTTGATACGGTCTCGCATGATATTCTTATTGATAAACTAGGCAAATATAACTTAGATAGGGCCACGATAAGGTGGGTGCATAATTGGCTGGATAACCGTAGTCAGAGAGTTGTTGTTAACGGTTCTAAATCCTGCTGGAAAGGGAT